TGAAAAGAGTTGAGTCTGTATAAATGTACTGTAAAACGATATTGTATACCAGTGATGGCTAACCTTTTTGCCATCGCGTGCCAGGAGAGGGGGGGCGGGGGAGGGTCACGCGCGCACATGCCCGCGCGCATGCGCACACAACCCCACCCATCTCCGCTCCTGGCACATGATGGCCTCGTAGGCCCGTTTTTCTTCCTTATTTTTTTTTGCTGACCCCAGCCTCCAGAACCTCTCTAGGAGTTTCTAGGAGCCTCTCTAGGAGTCTCTAGGAGTCTCTGGAGGCTGGGGACAGAAAAAAAGTCACTTCCTGTCCCACCGGGAGTCAGGAAATGGGCCCTTTCAGCCTCCGTAGGGCTTCCAAGGGAGTGGGAAAGGCTGTTTTCGCCCTTCCCAGATGCATAGAAAGGATCTGGATCCAGGTAAGAAAAAAAAATGGGCCTTCCCCACACACTCCCAGGCCCTCCAGAGGCAGGAAACAGTCTGTTTCCCTATTTCTGATGGGCCCAGAAAGCCCGAAAATCAGCTGGCCGGCACATGCATGCGCCCCAGAGCTGAGCTGGCGTGGCCACTAATATGGCTCCACATGCCACCTGTGGCACGTGTGCCATACGTTCGCCATCACGGTTGTATACTTTATGCTAGTATATTTTGTAGACTGCAATACACCTAAAAATCATAGAACTGGAAGAATGCTCAATTATTGTCCCAAAGGTGCTTTTTTCAGGAGGCAATCTTTGGGACAACCATGACCTGGATAACTGAAAATCTCTACAGACTCTCAATTATCATATAGTTCAATTCCCATTAATACAGGTAGTCCTTGACTTACGATCACGATTGAACCCATCATTTCTATTGTTAAGTGAGACAATTGTTTAGTGAGCTTTGCTCCATTTTATGACCTTTCCGCCCTAAGTCTTCGGAGAGGGGCGCCATATAAATTGAATTAATTAAATTAAATTAAATTAAATTTCTTGCCAAATTTGTTAAGTGAATCACTGCAGTTGATAAGTTGGTTAAACAATTGTCAAGTGAATCTGGCTTCCCCATTGATTTTGCTTGTTAGAACTTTGAAAAACGGGATCACATGACTTTGGGACACAGCAACGGCCATAAGTATGAATCATTTGCCAAGCATCTGGATTTTGATCACATGATCATGAGGATGCTACAAGGGTCGTAAGTGTGAAAAATGGTCATAAATCCCTTTTTTCAGTGTCTCCGTAACTGTGAATGGTCATTAAATGAACTGTTGTAAGTCTAGCACCACCTGTATAAGAAAGCCACTGCTCAGAACCCCTTAGGACTGATTCTAGCCTGTGTTTGAAAACTTTTAGTGATAGAGAGTCCATCATCTTCTGAAGCAATTTATTCTATTGCGAAATAGGTCCTACCATCTGGAATTTTTGTGTGCACTCAGCATACTTTTTGTTGTAATTTGAATTAACTGGTGTGCAATACTTAAGTTATGCAATGGAGAGGCATACACCGTGGGAATGACCAACTAGATTGAGGTTTTACTCTAGCTTCAAAGAAAAAAGTACAAACAACGTGCATTCTTGCAAATATAAAAACAAGAACTTGGTGAAAGGAACAGGAATGAAAGAGAATAAAGTGCCTCACCCCTTGTTCTTGCCAAAGCTCTGGAGGCAAAAGATGATTTATTTTTTCCTTCACAACAAACCAAAGATAGTACTGCTTTTTAAAAGGAAGGAAACCTTTTTGCAGGGTTTGAAACTGACACCATCTAAAAATAGAGCAAAAGACACGTTTTTCATGATTATTTTTGGATTTAGAACGTTCCTCCTAACATCAGAATTTTGATTTTTTTTTTCATTTTATAATAAATGCCCCAGAATTCTGAGATTTCTTGAAAATAATGAAAGAAATAAAAAAGCTTAATTAACAGCATAATCTGTTTTGGCTTTTAGTGCTAAATTGATTTTTAACTCATAAATGTGCAGTAATATTTCTGATAAAGAATTAGGATTATGCCTCAATTTATCTGTGAAGCTGTTCGTTGTAAATACAATATGACTGCCATTCTGAAAAGCTGATTTAGTGAATTTAAGCAGATACGTGAATAGATCTCTGCATGGCTTTAAATCTTTTCTAAAGAGCACGATGTTCTTTAAATAATAACAACAATATAATAACAGTAACAACAACAATGATAATAATAATAATATACTATTTGTCGTTTCACTATTGAAGTTGAAATTTCAAGTTCAATAAAATAAAGATGTTATCTCTTATCAGCATGATATATTGCAATGGTAGAAGGTAACTTCTAAGAAGAGTTTGCTTTTCTTTTCCTGGAACAATGGTTTTCAAAGATTGATTGTCTGTCAAACTAATGAGACTAATTGTCCTTAATTTTCACTCATTAGGATCTCCGATAATGGAGACCTCATTCTAAATTGCAGCTGCTTACGTTTGCAGAACATGACCATAGATTTTGGCTTAATGTACAAGATACCACTTGTTAATATTATGCCAGGTATATTACTAAGCAGAATTCATCAAATAGGAGCATGCATGTTTTGATCTGAAATGATTAGATGTACATATTAAGTTACACAATCCATTGAAAGTATCAAATGCAGTGCAAAATGGAGAAGGCAAATAATAACAAATGTATTTGAAAATTATATTTCTAATTAGAAAATTAAAAAACAAAAGTTTAGTTATTTGTTTTTGTTTTATAAAATAAATTATAATTATATAATTATAAAACACATTGTGCTGAATTTTAAATACACTGCAAAGTTCTCCATAGCTTCAAAGGTCTAAAAATACTTGCAGAAAAATTGGAACACATACTAAAGACTTTTTCAAAAAGGCTTCTTTCAAAATGCATAGTACAGTACAAAGTACTTAAATATAAGACGGCCTGATACAGAAATAGAGAATAATTCAGTAATTTATTATAGATATATTTCTGAAGGATGAATATTCAAATGTCATATTGAGAGAAGTGTAAAAAGGCTATTAACATTTGTGAACAGATGTTTACCATCTTCTGGTGAGTACAGATTTAGTTTGGAGATGTCAAAAGTTATCATTCTAATGGTAAGATCACACTTGAAATATTGCATCTAGTTTTGGTTGCTACACTATAAAAAAAGATGCTGAGATTCTAGAACACGGGTTCCCAAGCCATGGGTCATGGCCTATTCTAGGTTGTTAGCATGGAACCATCTCTCTCCTACTGCCCTATCACAAAGCTGGATATATTGGGAAACTCTGCTGTAGAAAGAGTGCAGAGAAGTATAATAAAGTAAAACATGAAGAATGGCTGCAAGAATTGGGTACGTCTAGTCTAATGAAAAAAAGAACTAGGAATGACATGATAGCAGTGTTCCAATATTTGAGGGGCTGCCATGAAGAAGAGCGAGCCAACCAAATGGATGGAAACTAAGCAAGGAGAAAGCCAATCTAGAAATAATTAATAGATAAAATAATTAATCCCTGGAATGGCTTGTCTTCAAAAGCTGTGGGTGCTCCATCATTGAAGATTTTTAAGAAGAGATTGGATAGCCATTCATCTGAAATGGTATAGGATTGAGCAGGGGATTGGTCTAGAAGATCTCCAAGCTCTAGCTCTGTTATTCTGTTATATCTGCTGTCCTTTTAATCTGGTCCCTCATTTAAGGTCAGTCTTTTTATCTTCCAGTAAAAACAACCAGAACAATCTTTCTACTTACAAACCATTCTTGCAGTTAACAACAGCCACACCTTCTATGATCACATGATTATATTCTAGATGTTTGGCAACCAGTTCACCTTTATAACCATTTACCACATCCTGCAGTCACCTGGCCACAATTTGCAACATTTTTGGCTGATTCCCAGCATTTATTTCTAGTTTCCAGCAAAAAAATGCATTGGAGAAAACGGATTTACTTAATGACTGCAGCATTTCATTTAATGACCATTATTAAAAATGCAGCTGTAACTTTGAAGTTGGTCACTTGGTGCTTCAATTTATGGCTGCAATAATTTATGACCATAATTCCAGGCTCTGTTATTATTGTAAATTGAGGATTATCTTTAATACAGATTCCATACGGCGCCTTTCAGTAAAATAGAAGTTATGTTACATTAAACCCCAAATTCCCACCTACGGTAGACATGGCTAAGAATTTTTGAAGTGGTAGTGGTATTGCTGTTATAATTTTCTATGTTTTTGTTTACTTGAATATATTGTAATCTCTCTTAAACAGAAGATTATTTTTGAGAAAACTTGCATTGGATTATCCTCTAAATTTAATATGTAGGCCAGACATAACACTTATTTATGTCAAAATTATGCATTTTATATTGTTTAAAGCAGATTTATTTATAATAGGAAAAAACCCAATAATTGTACTTTGTTATCTATCTGATCACTCTGATTAAGAATGCATATGATGATGATAATTATTAGCCTTTCTCCCACTAATCTTTATGGAAATAAGAAATGGATTTGTATCAGTTTGTAATTACTAGTTTCTAGACATTTCTTTAGGCTTCATCTAAAGCTTGAAGCACTTCAAGGCTATGTACATAGCATTAAAAAGTATAATAAAGCAGATAAAATCAGTAAAAATAATAAAGTGGAATGATGACAACTAAAAGCAACCTCCCAAAAATACTATTCAAGGAAAGCCAAATGTTTTTTTCAAGGGAAGGGAGAGAAGAGCTTTACAGAGTGGAAACTCATCCCAAATTGAAGGGTGGTTATTGAAAAAAGCCCTCATGGTTTATGCATAACCTTAAGGGCCAGGAATGCTTATAGCAAGTCAAAAGGACTCCTCTCAAAAAAAAAAAATAACATTGGGACTTATTGGTATGGGTAAAGATAGCCTTTTATGTAATCTGGATCAAGTTCATTGCAACGTTAAAGATTAAAATCATAACCATTTTAGAAATGCAGTATTACCAATCAGGCACATCTTGGGCAATAGCAGAAATTCATACAGACTGTTTCCAAAATAGAATTGAGAAGAATCAGAATATGTATCTATTTCCAACATTTATTTAGTTTACTCAGAAACACCATTCTCTAGATGGTTTACATAATATCATAAGACGTAATGCAATGTGTACTAATACAGAATAGTAGGACAATTATTTTTTAAAAGCTTGGGAGAATACTGAAATATTTATCTGCTACCAAAATGATTACATTAAAAAAAAATCCCAGTCAAAATCCCATTTAATATGAATGAATTGGTACTAACCAAAATGGTCAAAGAAAGTACACAGCCTAAAGCAGGAGTGTCAAATTCAAGGCACGTGGGCGAGATCCAGCCCATGGGGTGTTTAGATCTGGTCCGTAGGGCCACCCTGGAAACAGTGAAGGAGTGGCCTGCTGTGCCTCTGCCAGCGAAAACAGAGCTCAGGTGGGCCGCATATGGCAAAGAGTTGCAAGAGACCATCACAGCCAAAAACAGAGCTTGGGAGCCTGTTTTCTCTGGCAGAGCGCTCAGGCCACCACAGGTTCCCTGGACATGAGTGGTATTGAGCTGGCCATTCCCACCCTGGCCATGCCCCCTCCACCGCCTCTGAGGTCAAACACAACCCTGATGCAGCCCTCAATGAAATTTGAGTTTGACACCCCTGACCAAAGCTTTGGAGTACAGATCTGTATTCTGTTGTGGAGCAATGTTTGGCACTAAACAAAGCTAGTCTCTATTTTCCAGTTTAAGAAAAAAATCTGTTTCTCAAAGAAATGTACTATGATAACAGCACTGTGATCTTCCTTCTGATATACCTGCAGATAACAAGCATTGTTCTATTTTCCCACATAAAAAATACACAACTCAAGTATGACATATTAGCCAAGCATAAAGGAACGTTATTTAATCTTTTTCTATTAATAACCTACAATTGGCATTTAAAAACAGTTTCCAAGACTTATTTACTGAAAATAGAACATCTATGTAGATATTCCAGTATCCAATGCCAGGGTTGGACTTTCTTGAATTGGAAAACTGGATTTTTGTAATTTAAAACAAAACACTTTTTCTATAAATTTCCGGCATAAGAACACATATATTAACGGATCCATACATATATTTGCAGTAGCTAACCAGAGAGTGGTTTCTTTGCCTATGAATAATTGATTCTGTTTAGCACAATTCATACTTTGGCCACTTTGGCTAAGAGTATAAGGTACCCGAACAAAATGATAAGGGGCAAAACAGATGAAAAAAACAGCTACAATTATAAACACCTTACTTTTGGCTCTTTGTTTAATTTTACAGTCTGCTATCTTGGTTCTTTTATAAGAGCTATAAATCTTTTTAGCAATAATTACATAAAATAGAAGCATCAAAGTCAGCACGGTATAGAAGATGATTTGACAGATGTAATTGACAGCTTCATGCCATTTCAGTCCCAAGTCACTTTTCAACGAAGCACATTTCCTCACTGGGAGAGAGGTAGCCTCACGGTCTGTCAAAATCACATTGGGCAGGGAGAGGATGAAGAAAAAGAGCCAGACAGACCATGAAATCACTTTAGCTGAAGTGATCTTATGCAACCAGAACTTCCCAAAGGGCTGAATGATCTTGAGAAACCTATCTAAGGAAATAAGTCCAAGCAGCACAATGCTTATATACATGGTCTGGTAAAATATTACAGCTGAAAAACGACAAACAAATGTTTTAAGTTCCCAGAACCCTATTTCTGAGTCTGTGAGAATCTTGAAAGGCAGCATGAGAGTCATGATGGAATCGGAAACCACGGTGTTCTTAAGATACACAATGAAACTTGAAGTGGTTGGAATCTGAGAAAAAGCAACTATAGCCACACTGTTCAGTAGAAATCCCACAAGGAAAAGAATGCTGTACAAAATTGGAAATACAACATGAGATGTCCTGGTATCTCGGGGGCATTGCCCAGAGACGGATATCCAGTTGGAAGCGTTGATACTTCCATTCATGGTTTAAGCAGGAATCTGGGGAAAATAATATTTATAGAAAGTAAGTACACATAAAGGTTTTACTTAAAAAACAAAGTACAAAAGCAAGAAGACTGGAAAGCACCTAGATTTTACAACAAAATAGAACCATTTTGGATTGCCAGGAGCAATACATACATTTTGATAGCATATATGACATTACATCATTTGGGATTTTTCATATCAAAAAAGAGGTTTAGTTTTCTATGTGGTTAAGAATTGTATGAACCCGGTTCTACACTTTGGTGCAAAGTGGACGGATGGGTGAATTTGCTCACATCGGAAAAATGATCTGAGGGTTTTTTCCCCCACAACCATAGAAAGCAAAGCAATTACATTATTTTTTGACTAACGTTACTTATAGATTATCATATACATTCAGCTCCAGGAATAGAAAATAGATTATTTAAGATAAAATAATAATAATAATAATTAAAAAATTACTCACCAGTTTAAAAAAGCATAAAAGTAATGCTGGAAAGGCCTTTTCACTGGTTATCTGCTGGGTTTCATTTGGCAGAGACCTTGAAAAAAAAAGGTGCACAAGAAAATCCTGGCGTTTAGGTTAACTACTTGTGGAAAGAGTTATTCTTCCAATTAGGTAGACCTCCGAGCTGGAAAACTGCTTAAGGCTCAGAACCAGCAGTTTGGCTGAAGAAATGAACTGGCTGCACATTCTGTTTGGCTGTTTTTGTTTCCTAGAAAAGGAAGTTAAAAAGCCAAAGGTTTTGGTGGAAATTGTGATAATCCGACTTAATGAATTCACTTTAACAAAAGACAGGATGGAAACTGCATGCATACATTTGGACAGCTGCTAATGTTACACAAATGCCAAATGGGAAATGTGTTTGCCATATTTCTTAACCCATAGTCCCTCCCCCCCCCAAACAAAATTATGGATGTGCATTTGTGATACAAATATACATATCTGCATTAAACATACACTGAGAAGTTCAGGTAGAGCCAGTGAAAGAGTAAGCAAAACAAAAGCAATAAAATAATCCCATTGCATTTCTGAATACAATCTTTCCTTCTTTATAAGTGATTTCTGAGATTTTGTTGTACATATTTGTAAATGCCATCCTGAGAAGGTTCAAGATGGCTGGAAAAACAATCTATCTGAAGCAGAGAGCCGGATCTGTGCCTTTTCTCTAAACAGTAACCCCTCCTGAAGAACACTGTGCTGCATTCATGTATAGTTTTATGTGTATGATAGGATACAGTTGTTGGTTAAAAATTTGGTTGGTTTTCCTATACATTAGTGTGTTATGGGAACCCAGCCTTTACAATTAGTTCATGTTCAATGTTGTATGTGAGTCAAAAAAATGGGTTAACTTATTAAATGGTGAGCGTAATTTCTCTTTCACATCTGACTATATAGTTTTTATAAACAGCAGCATTTTTCTCTGTGGAAGGTCAGTGGGATTGAAGTCCTTGGGTTAGTTGAGTTTGTATCGTATTCCTACTTCAAACAGTAAATTAGATGATTAAATGGGGCAGTTTAGATAGCTCAGTATTAGTTTTTTTTTTATTACTGGCTTTTGAATTTTTACTGAGTTCCAAGTATGACATAAGCTGTACTTTAAGAAACTTCCTCTTTTCGTAAAAAGACAGATTCTGCTCTGCGCTTCAGACCAGATGGCTTCTTTGGAGCACAGCTATTGATAACTTGGGTGGCCTTAAAATTGTCACATTCTTTCATTTTCTTCCATATTCTCTCTTTCTAACCCATCCAATGGGACTGTTGTCACCATAAGTGAACAGAGAACACTATAAATTCCTCACAATTTCTTGAAGAAGTGAAATAAGAACAAATAATAAATATGATTTAGCCAACCAATCCTGATTTTGTCCAAATTATAAGGAATGCCTTTCCTTGAAATCTTTTTTTTTTTTTTAATTTGATTTATATGCCGCCCTTCTCCGGAGACTCAGGGCGGCTTACAATGCGTTAAGCAATAGCCTTCATACTTTTGTATATTTATTCAAAGTCAGCTTATTGCCCCCACAAACTGGGTCCTCATTTAACCTACCTTAGAAAGGATGGAAAGCTGAGTCAACCTTGAGCCTGGTAAGATTCGAACCTGCAGTAATTGCAGGCAGCTGTGTTAATAACAGGGTGCTTTAGACCACTGTGCTACCAAGGCTGCATTGTATGCAGAAGTATTCCACATATGCACTGACTAGCAACCTATTAGTATTTTCTCAACTGAAAATCTCACAAGAGATGTTATACCCCATCCCAAATAAGTAAAATAAATTAATGAAATATTTCCTATGGAAATAACACATTTGAAAACTCTTTTAAAATTTTTATGACCTTAGGTATTTCTCTCTATAGCTTGAATAATAATAATAATAATAATAATAATAATAATAATAATAATAATAATAATAATAATATTGATGTTAATGATCCATAAGGCAAGAATAAAATTGCTTACCTCTCTGTGAAGAAGTACTGGACTGGCGTACTGGTAGTTTGAAATGTAGACAGAAAAACTTAGTTTCGTAAGCAGTTTTGCTGTAGGTTTGTTCCTCCTTTTTCACAAGCCTGGCTTCTCTCTCTCTAAAACATCTTCCCCACTTCCCTCTATCTGGATCAGATGTTACAAATCTCAAGAAAAATATTCAAACACAAAATATTTGGAAGTATCTTACTCAATATGAAGCTCTTTCTATCTACAGAAAAAGAAACACAGATGGCATGAAACATGGAACTGAGTTTGGCTAAACCTAACAACCAAGAAAAGAATCCTGGGAAAAACTGATAACAGGGGCAGGAAATAAGAAAAATAAGGAATAAGAAAATAAGAAAAAAATAAGAAATAAGAAAAAAATGGAATAATAATATCGAATGACTGTGTATTTTTGTGTGTTCTTTTCAATGATTATTTTTAATTGGTAGTTTTGAGGATTCTAAATAATGTAAGAAGTCTGTAGAACAGTGGATGTTGAATAGCAGTTTGTGTTCCATACAGTTGTAATGGCTAATGTCCACAGAGTGACTCAATTTTCTTTGTATTCTTTTCTGCTTGCCTTTATATTTTTAGTTCTGTACAAAGATTCTTATTTTGCATGACAGAAGATAACAATTTTTTCCATCAAAATACCTCCAATTGATGTTATTTACAAAATGACAGTGACCAATTTTTCTTTCTAGGTCACATAAAAATGTTTATGGAAATAAGTGGAAGTGTTGGTGGCACTGTAGAAAATGTTCTTTCCATTGACTAGTTCCAGAAAGTGAAAATCCTGTCCTGTGTCTCAGCAATACCTAAAGAAAGAGAAGCAGTGATGACAGAAGAACATTTTCAATTGTATCACCCTATTTTCAAAGTTCTCAAAAGAATTTTACCGAAAGCAACATAATTTTTCCCCAATACCATCCATTGTATGTGCTTTTAGTATATGTTCATGTTATCCTGGTTTCCTAACTCCTTACCAAAAAGTGTATTTTACTGTACACTGTACCTTGGTCCTCACCATTAATTGGTTCTAGGAAGCATGATGAGTACCAAAAATTACAGGTACCAAACAATTTTTTCTCATAAGGACTAATGTAGTGAGTCACAAGCCAACTAGCCCTGACAAGTTCTACCTTGTGCATTGAATACCAAACAAATGATGAGTACTGGGACAATTTTTTTGCATCAAAATACATTGATTAACAAATTCAATGAGTTTCAAAGCAGTTGAGTACCACTGTATTTTTATGAGATTTTTAAATTTGTAAGCCATTGAGGAGCAGATGAAAGGGTGGCCAAATTAAAGCAGATAGTGAAGACAACCGCCATCCCATAACAACAATAAAAGACAATTGGATACAATATTTAGACTAAACAGCACCATTGTGCATTGAGTGGATAAAAATATCTGGCATGATGAATATATCTTTAATAAAAAATGAATAAAAAAAGAAAATATTAGGACAGGGACGGTAGGTACGCTGGTGCGCTTATGCACGCCCTTACAGACCTCCTAGGAATGGGGTGAGGCCTACAGGAGACAGTCTAAGGGTAAAGTTTTGGGGATTTGGGGAAGAAATCACAGAGTCAGGTAGTGCATTCCAGGCGTTGACAACTCTGTTACGGAAGTCGTATTTTCTGCAGTCTAGTTTGGATTGATTTACCATGAGCTTGTATCTATTGTGTGCTCTTGTATTGTTTTGGTTGAAGCTGAAGTATTCATTGGCTGGTAGGACATTGTAGCAGATGATTTTATGTATTTTAGGTCAGACCGAAGACGTCGAAGTTCTAAGTTGTCTAAGCCCAAAATTTCGAGTCTGGTGGCATAAGGTATTTTGTTGCGAGCAGAGGAGTGGAGGACTCTTCTTGAGAAATATCTCTGGACTCATTCAGTTGTATTAATGTCCAATATGCAGTGCGGTTCCAGACAGATGAGCTGTATTCAAGAATTGGTCTGGCAAAAAAAGTTTTGTATGCCCAAGTTTGCAGTTCAATATTACCGGAGAAGAAACCACGCAAGATTAGGTTAACAACTCTTAATGTTTAATGAATGACTGAGTTGTGTTCATTAGGATTTTTGAAGAATTTACTAAGAAGAGGGATATTAAATGTAGCCTAATTCTCCAAATATTTTTTTTAACTGAGGCTTTTGCAAAGATTTTGCATTTCTGTTTCTTCACATAAAAGTGAAACTATAATGGGTTTTTTTTGCATATTATTCAATGAAATAGGTATTACAGTACTTACAGATCAAGCAACAGATATTACAATGCATGTATTATTCAGGTTAGAAAACAACTACTGTGTCCTTGCAATAAGTTTCACCCTAAATGAACTTATAAACTTTGTTTATATCAATATTTCTATTCAAATCAGGTGGATTACAACCAGAGTTAGAAGGACTGCTTAGCTGACATCAAGCTGATATCCATCATGTTGTGATTAGGTTTTCATGTCTGTTTTTTAATTGGTTCCACTTGTGTCTTATTTCCTTTTGGGTGTTTTTTTTTTAAATATTCAAGCTACAACCTAGAACTGCTTTCATTTCCCATTTATTTAATTTCCTAATTCCTCTACCATTATTCTACACAGCAATTTCTTCAAGCAAAACAATGGTCAAAACTGTTCCCCAGTAATTTGTGAATTTGATAAATTAATTGCCCATCATGCAAACATATTATGCAAGATTTCTAAACCAGCTTCATATTGTGACTTGACATTTGATGTTTGTGACTTTTGCAATTGTAGTTTGCCATGATTGTCTTACTTATAATTTCCTACTTCACAGTTTTTTCAGTAATTAGTTAGCAATTGATTACCATTTTCATCTCAGTAAAATTCAGTTTTATATTGTGTGTTACATGACATCCATACCAGAATTATAATTAATTTATATATTTAAAAAAATGAAATTGAAGAACATGAAGACATTTATTCATCTTAAGAAAGCAATTTAGAAAAAAAAGGCTTACTAAGCAGATTTTTTTTTCTTTCTTTAAAAGACATATTTTCTGTTATGCAGGGTTTCCCCCCCAAAAAAATATTACATCATTTAACAAAAATAAATTATATAGGACATTATTTTATTTCTTAAATCATTTTTTTGAAGGCACTCAAACAGTAATTTATAAGATGCTTATTGATATAAAGTCCTGAAAAAAAATCTATGTGGTCACTAAATATCATAGATTTGATGGTACATAGTCAGACACTAATATATAGCAAATAAGATATTATTCTAAAGTAAAAATAATAGTATAGCCTTATAACGTAATACTTATAAAGTAATACTTATAGTAATGCTTATTATGTGTTCTTAAATACTTAATGGTAGTAGATTGTTATAAATAAAACTAGGTGCCTCTTTTCCATACTTTGGGGGAAATGATTTATAATAAATAACTGCCAGCATTATTTAGTTTTATTAACTAAATAAACTACCAAGTTATATATTAAAATTGCTTGGTTAGTTTACATACTGTAAGTACCCTATTTTTCAGAGTATAAGACACACTGGAGTATAAGACACACCTTAGTTTTTGGGGAGGAAAATAAGAAAAAAGCTGATTGGTGGGTGGATCGGCCTCCCAGAATACCCCCAATCAGCTGTTCCCAGAGGTGAATTTTAGCAACAGGTTCCTTGGTTGTGAGCTCTGTGCCTTGCTTTTTTTTTTTTTTTTTTTGCGTCTCTGAAACTTCTGAAACTCTGTTTCAGAAAAAACTTTTTTTCCTGCCTCTGAAAGCCTCCGAAACAGAGCTTCAGAACAAAAAGCCTCTGAAGCTCTGTTTGGGAGCTTCTTTTCTGAAGCTCTGTTTGGGGGCTTCTTTTCTGAAGTTTTGTTTCTGATGCTTTTTTCACCCTCTGAAACCTCTGTTTGAGAAGCTGGGTGTAGCTACATTCAGAGTATAAGCAGCACCCAGATTTTCACCCCCTTTTTGGGGGGGGGGAAGTGTGTTTTATACTCTGAAAAATATGGTAATACAAGGAAGAGAGACTTCTAATTAATCCAGAAACAAAGGGCCCAAGGTGAAAAAAATTGATGCATCAATTGAGGCATCAATTTATGCCTTTCTGAAGGGAAAGGGAGTTGAAGGTGTTGATTATTAGAGTGTCTGGGAACTAGACCTTAAAAAGATATAAAGTTACTAATAGAAAATTCTGGATTGAAGATTTTGAAACATCTTTTTCTTTTTAAGTCTATAGGATTTCTGAGTGATGTCTACTTATCATTATCACTGAACTTCTTTAATAGTCATCTACTTTTTTGTATACTTAGTGCTCCCTGCCTTCCTCTAAAGAGCCTTTTTCTTTAAGTATACAGAATTTTTGTTCCTGTCCAATTCATTTTTTCTTAGTGTGAATCAATCTTTCTAGCTATGATATTAAAAGAAAATGCAGCAGCAATAATTCTGTAGCTGGTTGTTAGTATCATAGGCTATGTGCGATTCCTGATTTCTGTAAAACCAAGAATGACGAATTTCTATTAGAAAATATAACTTGCATCAGAGTGATGCAAACTATATTTGGCTAGGTTTTTTGTTTATCTACATTGGTGTCTCTTGATCTGTAGTTTCTCTACTATGATCCTCTGTTGTTTTCCTTAAACATTTATGCAAATTATTTAAAAGAGACTTTCTAAATGATTTGCAGAGGGCAAAATAAATGAATGGGTCTAAGCATGCATTCAAGGAAGTCAACCACAAAGTGGTCTCTTTTATGTAAAACAAAATATTCTGGGTTGAACACTGAAAAACATCTCTGGTTTGGCTCAGAGTATAAGGAATTCTAGCAAAATGGAAAGGAACAAAGCAGACAAAAAATACACCAATAATTATGAAAATCTTGATATTCACAGTCTTCTTGTTTGCCTTTCCCAAACGTCTTGTTCTTTTGTAAGAGTTGTACAGTTCCCGGCCAATGAGTATGTAGCATACAACTATGATAACAAAATTAATCCAGAAGATAAACTGGCAAATATATGCAACGATTTCATGCCATAGTAATCCTAAGGAAGATTTTAGATCAGCACATTTCTTCACATTCTCATATGTTGGTTTCTTGTCTGTCAAAATCATGTTTGGGAGGGAAACAGAAAACATGAAAACCCAGATAATTATAGACAAAATCTTGGCTGCTGGTACTTTGTCAATTCTTGATGATTTGAAAGGTTTGACAGTCTTCAAATATCGATCAATCGTTATAAGTCCAAAAAAAATAATGCTGATGTACATGGTGAAGTAAAATATGACCTGAGTCACCTTGCAAACAAATCCTCTCAATTTCCAGGAAGTCAGTTTTGCATCACTGAGAATTTTGAATGGAAACGTTAATACCATCAGAATGTCAGAAATCACTATGTTCTTGAGAAAGACAATGAAATTTGATTTGCTGGGGATCTGGAAAAAAACTCCCATGGCCAAGCCATTCATGATTATGCCAGTGAAGAAGATAATAGTATATAACAAAGGAAAGAGAACTTGATTCATCTTGCTATCTGTGGTGCAGTTGCTGCTGTTTTCAGGAGGGCTGTAGTCTAGTCCCATTGTAGCTTTAATTGCTTTCTACCAAAACAAAACAAGCACATTAGTCATAAATGTCAGCTATTTTAATTAATGCTTCAATCCAGTATTTTTAAATTCTCTCTGTATACAAGTAACAGCATGAATAGCTTTTTAATATAGAATTTATGGTATAGAATAGTGATGGCTAACCCTTTCCGGGCCGAATGCCCCAGCTTAACTCCACCATGCATGCACATGCACCTCCTGCTGGCCAGCTGGTATTCACATCTCTGCTGCGCATACACAGAGGTAGGGCACATGTGGGGGGACTGTGCTGGGAGGGCAGGGCGCATGTGGGGGCCATGCACACCTGCGCGGGTGTGGGATGCATGGGGGGCACACACACATTGCATTTTGGGGGGTTGGGTGCGCACACATGCATTTGTGCATGTGTGCTCAGGCTTTGGGCACTCGGCCCATCACTGTCATGTTTGTTATGAATTCTAGGAACTGAAAATGCAACCCACATGGGAGGCATTAGTTTGGGAAAGGCATTGCTGAAAATAATCTGCATGTATAGGAATTACAAATTCAAGAAGACCCAATGAAATAATCTTGCAAATAAATAATTGGTAGTTAGGTATACAGCCCTGTAATTCAGAGAATAAGCATATAAAATACACCCTGTTTCAAGAACCCACATAACTCAGATTCTAAATGAAAAACTTCAACCAGTTTTATTGTTATAATGTGTTGCTCAGAAAGTAATGTACTCACATGGAAGAACAATATAATTAACTTGAAGGAATGTCAGTATAGTCAAAAAATAAAGAAATTATGATGGCAAAATCACTGGACTCGGAGACCTTTTAATAGGAATCCTAGTGCTGCATCTCTTTTATAAAACAAACAGAAAAAAAACTCATTTTAGTCAGTTCAAGTCAAAAATTTTCCAGCTGCGTTATATATCTTTACTTTGATAGGCAAAGTTAATTAATGCAAGTGTAACTGGGCATACACAAATACACGTGAATGCTGTTTTGTCCATTTATTTCAAACACACGTATTTAAGACATGTTTATATTTAAGATACATCTTAAGTAAATGTTTGAAACCTCAGGATTTTATATATCTTGTCCAAAATAAACTGAAGTAAAAATGTGTTTACTTTTAGAAGACATAGAGTGAATTGTTGTTGGACTTCAGAACAACAGAAATATCCGTTGTAGCTAGGATTTTACTTTCAACATTACAGAATTACAGCAAAACAAAACATCAATAATCAGAGGGTTTTAAAAGATTAAAATGTATATACCGAACTTTTTGCTTCTGCAAATCATACAGAAAGGTTTATTGAACAGAATGGAAATGCATACTAAAATTACAATGAAAAATATGAAATTACCTTAAATGTCTGGATTTTCCTTCATTGGAAAATTACCTTTCCTGGAAACAAGGGTTTCCTGATCTGTTTTCCTCTCTTTTTATTTTGGATTGACTGTTTGCTCCAAAATAAGACTTATATAGCAAACTCCATCAGCAGAGATTGTTCTTGCAAAACAGAAGTGTAAGAACTGAGTGAGTCAGAACACATATGGGGAAGTAAAGGGTTTAATTTTACTTTTTCCCTTTAAACAGCTGGAATATAATCAATTAGAAAGCAGAGGGAGGGCTTGCTGTCCTGCATCATAATAATAGAAGGTTTTCTGATTAAGAAAATAATTTAAAAATATATTTTATAGCCTGGTGTCGTTATTCCTTTAGACTTGACTAGAAGAGCGCTCATGTAAGCTAGTAGAGTCTGGCACTAATCAAATCAAATTAAACAATAATTCTGAAAAACAACCAAAAATACTCACCATAATATAATTTAAAAGCTTTTGGCAGGGTAGCTCAACGACATTAGTGAAATGAATGGCTTTCTGATTAGTAAAAGATAAGAGTACCTCTTTTCAGAATGGATTCAATACTGTATTTTTTTGTGCATTTTTTATTATTGTGAAGCCTTGTTTTAAGGTATAATCTGTTGTGCAAATTTATAAGCCCTGCACAAACCCCTGTTGATCAGAGTTATGATCTGCTAATATTTTATCATCATCAAGATGAATTTTCAAATTTTCGTTGAAATGAAGAATATTTGTGCATGGCTAACCATTATTATGTTGGTTGGCATTGTTGGAAGTTGTACATAGGAAGGCTTATGATGGAATATATGAAATATAATCTTATACATTCTGAAGAACCCTCCCAATCAGATTAAGAGTAGCCCCAGCTTGGGTTCACAAAAGGTTCAATGCATTTACTTTCTTTGAAATAATATTTAAAGACTACTGCTTCTAAATATAAAGGTCTTAACTTTTGTGTTCATTATATTTTTAAAGCCTCTCCTCTCCTCTCCCCCCACACCCCGTCTCCTCTCCTTTCCTCATATTCAATCCTGGTGACTTCCATGCAGTTTTCTTGGCAAGATTTCAGAAGTGGTCTTCCATTACTTTCTTGTACAACCAAAAATAACCAAGCTGGGTCCTGTGCTTAAGGGAGGACTAGAACCTGTGCCTTCCTCACTCCTGTTCTATCATCAGACTGCATGGCCTCGCTATATTATACTATATCATTGTTTTTAGTATGCATGAACTGAACATAAAGGTTTACTTGTATATATAGTAGTGATGGTGCTGGATTTGTACCTTTCCCCTGACTATTTTCTGTTAATTTCCTCTTCCATTGTGGTCTTCTACATTGGTTGAAGCATCCTGAAGATTTTGGGAATGTTCTAGGGCAGATGTCCCCAACCCCCAGTCTGTGACTCAGTAATGATATGCTGCCTGTTGGGAACCAGGCCATGCAAGCAGTGGATGAGCATGCAAACATTCATTTGCGCATGTCATGACATTAGGTTGCAAGCGCAAAACATCCCTCCTTACCCCACACCACTGCTGCTGCCCATCCACTGCCACTACTCCCAGTCTGCTAAGCCAGAAAGGTTAGGGACCACTGTTCCAGGCAAAATAAGGAACTTGCTTAAAATTATGTTGTTCTCATGCCTTTGCTTAAAATATTCAGTGGGTCAGAACTTTCATTACTGAAATAATGTCAAATCCAATATAATAGCTATTTTCAAGGGGTCTGCCTTTGCTATTCTAGTACCACAGATTAACTTTTACTTCCACAATTCCCAGACAATCAGTTCTTCATAGAAAAGCCATGCAGAAGTACTCTCTTATCATTAGAGTATCAATACTTTATTTGTCAATACCTTTTGTTTCTTTTCTGACTAACAGGATGAATCATCAAGTCATGAATATAACCAGCGCATGATACTTCTTTACGGAGTTGGAAAGGAACGTGAAGAGGCCAGGCATCAACTGAAGAAAATTACCCGAGATATTCTGAAAATCCTAAATAAGAAAAGCACTTCTGAAATGAGTGGTAATTAACTAACTGTTGATGCTTATTTTGCAGTGCATAGAATAGCACAGTTGTGGATTGAGAAGGGGTACCTTTATAAAGTTTGCAAGTTTTTAATGAGAATTACGCTTTTGAAAATAACTATTTTAAGACTGCTGTGAAGCATAACATATAAACCAATTATAAGTAGCTTGCAATTGTTTTTTATAACCAAAGTAGAAAATGTAAGCATATACTATAAATTCTTGTATATACTTACAAGAATTTACTGTATCATCCTGAAGCCACTTATATGAACTTTGTAAGATTGTAAATTGAAAAGCATGGTGTTTTTTTTTTTTTTTTTTAAAGAAGCTGGTTTTCCATACCAGATTGTAATGTAATTTCATATTCTTGATTCTGAAATATATTTAAATAGAGATGATTTTTTTAAAAATAAAATTTGCTTTTGATGTAACATATGACTTTTATTTACTGCAAAGCATAACAGACATATGTTTTAGGTGGCGATGAAGGGCAAAAAGTCAGGAAGAACAGACAAGAGGCATTTCCAACTTTAGAGACTGTATTTACAAAACTTCAGCAGCTCTCATACTTTGACCAGCATCAAGTGACAAGTCAGGTACTTCTAAGCTGCCATTGATGACAGAAATTGCATTGAAGTTAGAACGTAATATACTGTAATATACATGCAGTATAAAATGGAAATTGTGGAGAGGAAAAAAGTTCATCACAGGGAAAGAACTGCTAGATGAGTACAACAGGGCTAAATTAATGAATACAAATTTGTGTGTGTGTTTCTGGGTATACAAAAAAGATTGGCCTATGACGAGATGCTAGAAAATGGATTTTAGATGAGTGGGTGGTAATACCAAGAGAACATTTCAGACTAACCTACTAAACTTACTAACTTTTGAATCACATTTAATTGTTAATTCGTCTAGAAAGGGGGTGTCAAACTCAAGGCCTACGGGCTGGATCTGGCCCATGGGGGGTTAGACCTGGCCCACAGGCCATCCTAGAAACAGCGAGGGACCAGCCTGTGGTGCCTCTGCCAGCGAAAATGGAGCTCCATTTTTGCTGGCAGAGTACTCGGGCCACCACAGGTGCCCCTGACACAAGTGACATCGAACTGGCCATGCCCACCCAGACCCCTGAGGTCAAACACAACCCTGATGCGGCCCTCAATGAAATTGAGTTTGACACCCCTGATCTAGAATACTTTAAATAGAGTTTCCCTATGTCATTTTAAATCACAGCTGCTAGGAACAACGTGTCTTGATTCATACTACAGACTTCACTAGAAAATTAGCCCTAGCCTGCATGTTTTGTGAATAGCTGGAGGTGCTTGCTTTGATGCCAAACACAAAAGAAAAGAGACACAGCAACATTGCAAGCTTATTCCTGTAATACTTTAATTGTATTTCAGCAGTAGTAGAATAGAGTGTAAATCAGACATTCTCACCACACTAAATCTTTATGGTGATGTTGAAACAAATTAAAAGAATGTAAAATTGTTCTAGGCCTGAGCTAGGAAGAATGTCAGTGCTGGTACATTTTTGTCTTTTTGGACAAAGGGTGGAAAGTCGAATTTTGTACTGACTGCAAAACTTAACTTAAGGAAAGTAGGGCAGGTTGGAGGAAGAAACAGCTGAAATTTGGAGAATGTCATTGTTAAACTTGGTGTGAGTTAAGATTCATGTTTTCCACTAAATACCATGAGAAAAGCATATAGAACTACCACAGAATAATTATGCAGGAATATTATAAAATTACAAAATTACAAAGAATGTCTGCAATTAGAATGGGGGCTAACTTTAAAATCTGCTTTTTAATAAAGTTATTAATTATTATTGTTTTGGATAGATAGAATTAGGTAACATTTGTACTTACGTTTCTACTTACAGCAAGAATAAATTTCACACAAATAGGTGAAGTAAAAATAATTTTGGATTTGGAAGAAGTAAACTCATGAATCAATGGCAAATCATTTCTATATTATGTTAGGCAAAATGTATCCATTAAATCAGGAGTTTAGCTTTATTTGAAAATTTAAAGTAATAATAATGTGATCTGTTGCAAGAAATCTGTTTAATTTCAGACAGTTGATTAGAATTATTTTGTTGCTTTGGAAATAACTAAATGTTATTTCTTATGACTATTTTATGCTCATCATTTAGATAAGTTTTCTAAATATAAACAACTGATTCTCACCTACTGCAAGCATTTTGATTTAAAGATAAACTTTAAAATCTAACAGATTCCTTAGATCCATCATATACTGCAATGGATATCTATCTATCTATCTATCTATCTATCTATCTATCTATCTATCTATCTATCTATCTATCTATGTATCTATGTATCTATCTATCTATCTATCTATCTATCTATCTATCTATCTATCTATCTATCTATCTATCTATCATCTATCTATCTATCTATCTATCTATCTATCTATCTATCTATCTATCTATCTATTAATTTTTATCACTCCAGGCAGTGTTGATATATATTAAAATATCCTACCTACTGTAACATAGAATAAAATTCCAATCTCCCAACCTCATTAAAACACAGTATATTAAAAAAAAATAGCAGCAGCTGAATGACCATTAATTTTTGAAACTTGCTTTCATGCTCGGTTCTGGGCTTTTTTCCTTTCTAACAGCTAGCAAGCTCTAACTGCTAGGTGGGAGACCTAAATAGATCCATTTCTAGCTCGTTTGCTTTCATCAGTAGGCCACACCCATATCTTATGTATCCTCCCTGTAAAGGTACAGTATCAATTTTCTTACTTCTTCGTAGGGTTTATGTGTGTTTTTCTTCTAGCCAGGTTTTCCCTATGGGTGTGGCCTACTGATGAAAGCAAACAAGCTAGAAATGGATCTATTTAGGTCTCCCACCTAGCAGTTAGAGCTTGCTAGCTGTTAGAAAGGAAAAAAGCCCAGAACCGAGTAGATGTGATTCTACTGAGCTGGAGCTACAAAAAAACCTTGGTTACGTAGGGAAAACCTGGCTAGAAGAAAAACACACATAAACCCTACGAAGAAGTAAGAAAATTGATACTGTACCTTTACAGGGAGGATACATAAGATATGGGTGTGGCCTACTGATGAAAGCAAACGAGCTAGAAATGGATCTATTTAGGTCTCCCACCTAGCAGTTAGAGCTTGCTAGCTGTTAGAAAGGAAAAAAGCCCAGAACCGAGTAGATGTGATTCTACTGAGCCTGGAGCTACAAAAAAAAACCTTGGATACGTAGGGAAAACCTGGCTAGAAGAAAAACACACACACACACACACACACACACACACACACATATATATATTCATGCATATATGTATGATTTTGAGTCATTCTTGGTTCCTGGTGACATTCTAGAGAAGGACCTGCAGTTTTGTGTTGAATTATATTTTACCAACAAAGAAATAAAGGGAGAAGGCGCCTGGATTGGGACTGAAAGGCGAAAGCGGACGTAGTATACTCCGTCCCCTTAGTTGGGTAGACCAGGTTGCCCTGATAGACCAGTCTCACCGGAAAAAATACTTGACTTGCAGTTTTCTTTGCAACAATTTTCAGAACTGGTTTGCCATTGCCTACTTCCTAGGGCAAAGAGAGAGTGACTGGCCCTAGGTCATTCAGCTTTTTTTCTCCATAAAGCAGAACTGGAATGTACATTGTTCCCATTTTTTTAGCCCAGTGCTTTTAACCACTACATCAAACTGATTGTCATTTTAATTATTTAGATGGAAGAATACATTTCTATTCTCCCTAAAATAATTCTGGGCAAACAAGTAAAATGTCTTCCAGTTTCAAATCTGCTCCAAACAAGATAGGACCATAGTTTATTGTCCCATCTGATATTATCTGGAAATCATTTCATCAATAAACAGAAGCCATGAAAATATACACTCAAGAAATAAATTCCTTTTAATACATCCAGCATCCACCTTTTTCCAGAGCTTCAAAGCATCAACTCATTCATGAAGCCTAATTTTCAGATACAGACTCTTTGTAGAAATTCAGTTGCACCTTGGGCTACAATTTGAAAGTCTGAATTAAATTCTCTATAATCTTATAATTCCATCCCACCCCTTACAGTTATGCATATATATGCTTGCTAATTCTTTGCTGTACTGGTTCCCACAATGCTTCACTTTGCTAATGGGTCTGTTTGTTTTTAAACAGATCTCCAACAATGTTCTGGAGCAGATTACTAATTTTGCATCAGGAACATCATACCATCTTCCACTAGCTCATCACATAGAATTTATCTTTGATCTAATGGAACCTGCTTTAAATATTAATGGACTTATTGACTTTGCTGTTCAGGTACCTGAAATGAAGTTTATATATACATATTTATTTAAACTATTTTATTCCAAGACCTTTTAAGAAAACTACAAAATATTTAAAACAATACTTTCAATAATTGGACAGAGACTTGCTAAGTTCCCCTCATTCCATTTTATTAATATGGAAGTCTCTCTCTCTCCTGCTGTTTTAAAACTCCTAGCCAGTTTTAAAGGAATAAATGCAATCCATAGAATGTTCACTTCCCAATCAGCAGAATTTTATTCTGCATGGACCACATTAGGATCTTATAAAATAATTACATGTTACAAGATAGAAGAAAAGAATTCATACCAAATTTAGCTGGCCAGCTTCAGACACTACAGCACTGGGCACCTGTGTCCATGGGGAGAGAGTGGGATCCAAAAAGGCAAAATAACAGTTGCAGCAGCATCTACTTTGCATGTTCATGTGTCATCAACCACATACAAATGTAGTGGGCTTTTTTTTTTTGCCTCTTCCTGTGAATGCCAGTGATATTGTGATAGTGACTTTAACAATAAATTTGCAAATGCCAGTTTGCATGCATTCCAATGGCATGATAGCTTATTTCCATTCTCAGCTAAAATAAGGCAAAGTTTCTAGTACCTTTGTGAAGTGAAGGTACTTCACAAAGAGTAAAGGTTCTTCACGAAGAGTGAAAATGGCTTTCATTCCTGAAGTCAGGAAACTACATAGCATTTAGAGTAATAATTGCAATACTATGCTCTATCCAACTCCAGTAATAGAATTTTTTGTGCTAAGAAATATCTAAACCTAGAATTTGTTTCTGAGAGTTGAAGTATTTCAGATTCGCTTCACTTTTTGTATACTTTAATGATTAGAAAATCTTTTTTTGAAAGAGAACAAATAGAAGATATAGAACTTTGAGAGAAAGGTCAAAGACGTCTCAGATGAGGGAAGATCCTTGTGAATTATTCACTTGCTTGAGGATATTTATATTTCTGTTCAAAACCTATTACATTTTTAATGCATCTCTTTGAAGAAAAAGGGATTGCAACACTGTAAGAGCATTTATATATCACAGGAAGCCAGAATTAAGGCCTTCTAAGCTATAAGCAATGAGTATCAGTGTAGGAGTGTCAGATCAGTGTGATGATGCTTTCTGACTCCCAAGTGCTCATGGGAACATCTATACAATACTATAGATCCATAAAAATCCTTGTTATATGAAAGGCTTCAGCTGTGGTTTCTTGAACATGTCATTTAGATCAATAATTAAGTCGTCTTGTTCTTGGTTGAGGTAATATTCTAAATAAACTATGGATACAACTACAGTATATGTAAAAGAAGGCACTTCTTTTAGTGGATGTGATCAAATTAGTGTGCACTAAGGTACCTTTTGATTAGGATTTGATTAGGAAGCCAGATTTTTTACGACGTGAAACCACTCTATATCCACTTAAATAGTTCAGCATTGACAAACAACTACAATGCAATTCTGTGGCATTTAGATTTAGAGAGGAATCCTAAAGCGATATTTAACCTTTTATTTTAGCTGCTGAATGAGCTGAGTGTGGTGGAAGCTGAACTACTACTGAAGTCATCCAGCCTGGCAGGAAATTACACAACTGGACTGTGTGTTTGCATTGTAGCTGTGCTAAGGCATTATCATGCTTGCCTCATTTTGAATCCAGATCAAACTGCTCAGGTTTTTGAAGGGTTTGTAGTAGTAATGTTTTTCAAACACTACTTAGTTTTCTAATGTTAGTATGTTCAGTTTGTAATTAGGATGCAGTATTATTAGAGAGTTTGATGGGAAATTTAACACCTTTGTGTAATCAGAAAGGCAGAAACTTAATAGAATTAGAAATGCAAATACCATTATTTTCCCAATCTAAGATTTTAAAGTGCCTGAAATAGCCTTATCTATCAGCTAATGACTTCTTCCAAAAGTGATTTGAGAAGAAAGATCTGAATTCTAGTTTAATAGATACATTTACAATGTGTTGGACAGGATACATTTCCACATATATGAATTCTTGGTTTTATATATTTGAATTCTTTTTTGTGATTCTATAAATGTTATTTTTATTACTTTATTAGTCTTAAAAATAATATATATATATATATACTCAGATGTTCTTTTTATAACCAGATTAGTGTTAGCCAAATTGATTGAAGAGACTGTGTGTTTTGTGAGTTGATTGACTTGCATATCAGCTATTATGGCTTAGAGAGTATCAAAATATTTGTAGTATAGACAGATCCATAACATAGCTAGGGTGGGTATACAGAACCTTGTTTTAGACTCGGGTTGTATCTAGTTTTAGAGTTGAGTTCCAGCAAGCCAAGATAAATCTAAAATTGAATTAAATAATAATTATTAAGTAATTATATACATTTAATTTCATTACTTCCTGTGCACTTGATTATTTCCGCTATCATCACTTTTACAGTTATAATTTGCTGGCAACCTTTGAAAAGGCTTTACAGTAGAGGGTCATAGATAGCTCCAGGCCCATAAGTTGCAAATTCTTCATCTGGTTTGTACACAGCTGTATTTCTAGAATTAAATATAAATATTATTCCCTGTCTTGGAAATTCAGAGTAGGTTTTAAGACCATATTCAACCCTATAGTTTTAAATCATGTGAAAGGACAGTACTGTGACTGACTTCTAATGTTTAATAATGAATTTATCTTTCTATAGATTATGTGGTGTGGTCAAACACATAGTCAACCCATCAGAATGCTCTTCCCCCGAAAGGTGTATTTTAGCCTACCTGTATGATCTCTATGGGTCCTGTAGCCATCTTAGAAGCAAATTTGGAGATCTTTTCAGGTTAGTAGTAACAACTTATACTTTGCTTTATATTTCAATTAACCTTCATGCAACAATCCTTCATCAGTCTGATATCTTTCAGATGTACTGGATCTATAGTTCTTTCTAAGATATGACAGAAACATTTCTGTCTGGCAATTGATACACCTATTCTGGTTCTGCTATGGATATTTTTATTCCATCCTTGTTTATCAATAGACTTTACAGTTAGAAGAAAGCAGTAAATGATTTTTTTAAAATAAATGGTTTAGAAAGAGATAGAATTTGGGAATTTTCTGTTTAATATTTTAGACATATTTTCTTGGACTTGAAAGTTTCCCCCAAAAGTTCCCTTCGGATTTCTTAGGATTTCAGTTCTAGAGATTTCCAGGCAAATTTCTTATTATGAATTATGAATTGTGAAACCTGTATACAACTCGGAGAAGGTAGTATAAGACATACACATTATTAAAGAAAAGGATTGCACAGTATCATAATAGATTTCAGTTAATATTTTACTTCAACCTTTTTCTGTTTTCTAATAGATTCACAAATAGGACCAGTTTCTCTGAGATGTTTGTCCATAAGTAAATGTATAGCTATCCTAATATTAATATGTAGCCATCCCACAGAAAATAATTCACTTCTGAAAAAGGGAATATGAAATAAGAAATTGCTTCTTGTGGTTTTGGCTTTGCGTCTGTGGACCACAATAGGGCAAGTCAATCTTACTTTTTAAAAATGGCTAAAGTCACCTCAACCTTTTTTATTTATTTATTTATTTATTTTATTTCAAATTTATATACCGCACCTTCTCTCGAAAGACTCAGGGCGGTGTACAGCCAGATAAAAACATACAATACAAACATTAAAAAACAATTAAAAGGATATATATTAATTTGGCCCCAGTTTAAGATAACAAACCAATTAAAAATATGTTAAAAAATATGTTAAGCCAGCCCGGCTTGCTGGAAAAAGAAGGTTTTAAGGGCACGGCGGAAGGCACCGAAGTCTTGGATTCTCCTTATCTCTGGGGGCAGCTGATTCCAGAGGGTAGGTGCCCTCTGACTTCAATTTACATAGCTTTATTTCCATTAACTGACAACTCAATTATAAAAAGTCTGGTTATTCTGCTCTGAAGTTTTAATTACCTGCGAAAGTACTATTTTAACACCCCCCCCAACAATATATCAATGTATCAGAAGTGAACAGGTATATTGCTTTTGCTGTATCATACAGATTCGCTTTTCCAATAAGATTATGATGTACAGCTCAAAGTAAACATTTTATATTTTTTAAAATGTAGAATCTGATGATCTAATAAAAATATTTCAAATGAAGTTCTTACCTCTGTTTTCATTGAAGCATATGTTTTTTTTATACAATTCAGAAGTTAAAATGCTGTGACTTCCTATGTATTATTCATTTTTTTGATCTAAACTCCTTAAAAAAAAGGAAACTCATTTTGGAAATGAGTTATATTATCTACACTTTCTAAAGCTTCTGGTCATATGATGAAAAGCCACCCATGTTCTCATATTGCCTGCTTTGCTGTGTTAATACTACTTCTGCAAATCTCTTAAACCTTCCACTGTAGACAGGTTGCTTAAAGGAAACTTAAAAGTATTTCTTAAAAGTTTGCATGTATTGAGAAACCAAGTGTTGAGTTTTTCCTACTGCTTTAAAAAATGCACTAAAAATGTGTGAAAGGTAGTTATTATGGGTCTTTTAATTATTATTCACTTGTTTTAGTTCTAATTAGTCTGAAGGGACAAAGTATGTTTTATTTAGGGCAAAATTAATTCTTAGCACAGCTTCAAAGTCAAAGTCAACACTATGGTCCCAAATTATTTTGTGGCTTAAATGTCTCTGTCCCAAGTTTTTATATAACTGGGCAAATATTTCTTTTCTTCATCAGTCCACCATTATTATCATGCCATCAGTGGCATCCCCTATTTTCTACTATGTAAGATAACCAGCCCTGAAATTTAATGAATGTATAATAATGGTTTTCAGATCTTTCCTGTTTCTTTCTCTATTGCTTTATTGGGCTTTTAAATTACAGGGATTGAAACAAATGCTATAAATGTTAGTGTCTTCACAAAAAAAAAATGATGAAAAGCAAGTCAGAACTGTTGTATGTTGAAAAGACTAAAAGTATTGATTCTATATCTGGAGAAAAGTTAATGTATCTATCCAATTTGCTTATGGAATAGCAGTGTGACTTCTTTTATATATAGGTGAAGAATGTGTTTGTACCTGAAAATTAAAAGAATGACATTATCATGCATTGGAATGTTGCTGTTTGTTGGCTTATTGAGAGATGTATGAATGTGAAAAAGACTTATGATTGTTGATTCAGACAAAGTGTATTATTATGTAAATATGTTTGAATTGTGTTCAGTTATTAAGGCTGATAGCTGAATATTTCTGAGAATAACTGGAATATTTAGAAAGTGGTTCAATATGGAACAGGAAGTAAGATAAGGGTGTATGATGTCTTTTTCATTGTATAGTATATTCTTGAAGTAGCTGGATACCCGTGCTTGGCTATGAAACTGTGTGATCAGGCTTGATAAATAGACACTTACAGCTTGAAAATTAATGAATAGTTACGATCGGCCTCTCCTCTCCCCTTCTCTCCCCCAGCCTTGCCCCACAGAAGCCTCCCCTATCCTATCCCCTTCTCTCCCTCAGGCTTGCCCCACAGAAGCCTCTCCTATACTATCCCCTTCTCTTCCCGAGGGTTGCCCCACAGAAGCCTCCCCTATCCTATCCCCTGGTTGCTGCTGTGAAAGTGAAACTGAAAGTGAAACTCCTGTTCTCTGCTTGTGTTTTGCATTTGGAACAGATTTCTTTTGAGGTGAGGAGGGGCAGTATAACTCCTTAGCATCAGAGCGTGTTAATCATAATATAGGAAATACTAATGCTCTGATGGTCATTTTGAAAAATCCTTTCTTAGTGAGCACCTAGAAGCCAAGAGGAACATATGTGGCAAATTTCAAGTTTGTAGGCTGTACAGTTCTGGAGATTTCCTGATTATAGCATGAGTTGTTTTCGCTTTTATATATAGAGAGTAAAGGTAGACAAAATGTTGGTGGATATTCTAGAGGTGTTTGGAAACATCCATATTTGTTTACTCAGTATGCAATTGAGTTCATGCTGTTGTTTGATAACCCAAATGATTTGTAGTGAATATTATGCTTCAACAAGGTTTATGGATCTAAAAATTAATCTATCATAGATAAAGGTAGTTTTGTTTGACCTAGAAAATTAAACAAACAATTAAACATTATACATAAATGGCAGAAAGCTAAAACAAATAGACGGATTGTGTACCGTTTTATGTGTACCATTGGGGAAAATGACAAAGTCAGTTTTAGGCGTGTTTTCATACAGTGTCCAAATGCTAGTAGAAATGTAGTGGATAGTAATTGGTCTGTTGAAAGGAATAGATATTTATTAGAATAAATGCAAATAGCTGTGTTTCTGCCAACTTTATTATAGGAAAGTGAGAATTTGGCAAAGGCAGTGGGGATGAGTTGTTTAGGAAGTGTGTGTCGTAAAAGAAGAGATAGGGTCAATAATGCTGAATGAATGTGGACTAAAAACAAAGATTAGTGACTAATATGAAACAGGTCGTGGAGATCTGGTAACAGAAAAGAATAAATAAGGATCAATTATTAAACAAATATGCTCATTTATTGAAAATGATGATATGGTTGTCCATCTTGTAATATACAATTCTCGGCATATAATAGCAGTACTAAAAATACAACAATACAACAATGAACGAAAAAAAGAAAAAGAAAAAAAGAAAAAACAGGCACCCAGTCCAACAGCTATAGCCAGTCATCTACACAATCGCACAGGACTGAACCTTACTATCCAAGCCATAGATGTCAGATTGTGCACCAGCTGTGTATGTGGAAGTGTATGCCATTGAGAGTCAAAGATAACATGTCAGCCGGACCAATGGCTAAACCCAAAACCATTTTTGTTTGCTAGTCAGAGCCAGTTCCTTTTGACCTAGACCCCACAGCCTCCAGGCACTGGATCAACCCTGAAATGGTGTCATTTGCCCTGCCAAGAGTAGATATCTGCATACTGCATACTGATTATACCTAACTCTGTACTGTTGTATGATCTTACTGAGCAATTTCTTGTAGATATTAACAAGGAGTGGTGAGAAGCCCAAAGGCTAAGGCAACCTCCTACATAGGGCTGGATCCTTCTTCTCCTACCAATTGGTAGTGGCCACAGAGGAAGGAGGAGGACCTTTGCAGAAAAGGGCCTTTGACATTTTTTGTTGTCAGTTCAGAAAGATACCATTGTTGATGGTACTGAAAGCCGGCATGTCAGTTGCACCATCTCCATCTCAAGCCCTCCAAAGGCCATCCACAATCACAATCATTGTTCTCTCCTTATGATATTTTAGCCTGAATCCAGATTAAAAAGGGTTTAGATTATTCATCCAGATCTGTATAGCTGAAACCAATTTTTTTCTCAACAATCTTCCATAAAAAGAGAAGATTAAAGACTAGATATTTGTGTTTTGCAATACAGTTGAGTCCAAGGATAGCCTCTTAAGAAGGGGGTGTGCCACCTTAGGATATATGAAGGTGAAAAGAAGGATGGAGATAATCAAAAAGGGACTAAAATTTAAAAAAATAAAACACAATATATGAAGCAATGTATGGATGATTCACAAAGATAGATAACAGTGAGAAGGTGTTAATATGAACTAGTTTTAGCTAGATTCATCTTGTCTTGTACCTTTAACTTTTTTGGTCTTACTGCTTTTTAATCCTCTTCTGTGCTCTACTTAATGTTAGTAATCCTAAAATCCTAAAAGGGAATAGTATATGTGGTGTTCTGTATGTGTGTATATATGGTTCATGTTCCCTTTTCCAGTGATCGAGAAACATTCTCTGTGCTTATACAGAGATATGCCTGTTTCAAATCATTAATGTTTTAAAACTCTCTCTTTGCATCACTGCCACGTATTACAGTACTGTGAGAGTTCTGTTATACATAGTATACACAGAGTAATGGATAAGTTTCCTCCTGAGTTCTGGAATGAGAACTTTATAGAGAATTATACCATTATTTTATGGTCTTTAGCATCACAGCACGGATGTTTTGGAATCACAAGAAACGACTAATCTGTCTGCTTTCAGAAAATGTGTTGTAGACCAGGGTGGAAAAAGTAAAAGCTTGAAAAAATAAATAAAAAGATTGGTATGTGTTTATAAGCATCGGAATAATGTCACCCCATTTGGAATGCACTTTGAATCATACAGCTGCGTTTAGAATAAACATTTAACCAAGAATATTTCTGGAATTGCCAGATGTTAAGTAGGATCTGTAAAGGACTTCAAGGGGTCTTTTAAATATCCAGGGTTGAACGTTCATTTGAGATTGATGCTGATGTGGTTCACCCAATATATCTGGCATGGGGAAATCTCCATTCTTTTTCCAAAACCTCTACAGCAAGATTTTGACTGCATTTGCTGCCTCTCTTATTTCTAGTATGACAATGTCCAAGATGTTTGCCAGAGAGGATACAAAGCAGATAGACAACTTGATTTATGGAATCATACTCCAGCCATGTAGTCATACAATCCTTTGCTATTTGATTTAGGTATATTAGCTATGGATCCCCCCCCCGAATTAATATGGGTCATATATATGTTTTTTTCCTGCTTTTGAACTTGCTGTTGAAAAGTCTTCTAACATTTTTCCCTTGTTGTGTCATCTTAATCCATCACTCAAGAATTGACCAGGATTTACTTGGTTTTGAGACCCATTGTTATTCATTTTTAGTAGACAATATACTGCAAGTGATCTGTTGGGAAGAGGGTCACGCAATTGGCAAGCGAGTGTGTGAAGCTCCATTTGCGCAAGTGGCACATGCGTGAAACTATCCTCTCCCCACTTGCCACTGCTGCTGCTGGTGGTGGTCCATGGAGCTGGAAAGGTTGGAGACCAATGATATACCTTTTCAATCATGCAGTTTTGGCTGGTTCAACTATGTATTTTGTGATCTCTTTGAAAACTGGAGTTTCAATTCTTCTCAGTTATTTTATATGTATAATGCTTTAGGGGCAAGTGTTGCAAAGTAAATTGTACTCATTACACATTACTGTACACAGTATTCATTAGCTGCATAACTTTGTTTTGTATGAAATTGTTGTTTTCCTTGCTTGATTCTTTGTTTCCTTTCCTTTTTTTTAGTAGTGCCTGTTCAAAGGTAAAGCAGACCATATATAGCAATGTTCAACCTTCAAATTCCAATTTGTTATGGGATCCTGAATTCATGTTGGATTTTATTGAGAATCCCTCCATTCGCAGCCTTAAATATTCAATGTTGGGCAAGATTCTGAGTGACAATGCACCAAGTCGCTATAGCTTTGTGTGTAATGCACTAATGAATGTCTGCATGGGCCATCAAGATGCAGACAGGTAAGACATACAGCTTCTTATTTAGGCAACTTTCACTAGCACTTACCCATTGGGGTCTGCAATGGGATCAAAACAAGAAAATTAGATAAAACTATGCAAAACTAGATGTAATTCTTTCATTTGTCATTGCATTTGTACATACAAGAAGTGGGGCATACACCATAACCTGACATCTTGCTCTTGTCCTTCATTGATGATTATCAGCAGTTTTTCCTGCCATGGACTCCCTTCCTTAATCTCTGACGTTATAAAATGTGCTGACAATACTTCCTAAGAGAATACAGCAAGAACAAAATTGCACATGAATAGTTTGACATAGAAATTCAATCCTCTAAATTTTATTTCAAATATTTAAAAAATGATGAAAGCAGACTGATTGGGCTAAGAGATTGCACCTCATTGGCTGTACCAGCTGCAGGGTTTGATAGTTGGGAGCACTGTGCTATGTGGTTCTCTCTCAGAGGCTGAGTCCAGTCAGTGTTGACAATGGAGGGAGAATCGATCATGCCCTTGGCCCCTGTAATGGTATATGAGAATGGCTTTAGGAAACAAAAGAGCTGCAGCCTAGACAACCATCAAGCAAACAGTATCTCAGCCCAGAGAAGGAAGTGTCTCCGAAGGAACCCCTAGAGATCTAGTTTTCTGGAAAGTAAAAGCAAAGAAAGAAGTGTTTGCAATGTTTGTTAGTGTAATGTTATAATATATGTATTGCTAGTACTCATGGTTTGTGCTTCTTGTCTGGACCACCCCAAAGGGCTGACAGGTCTTCATGGAGAGTGCCCAGGACTCTGTTCCTTTCTCTTTAATAGCTACATGAAACAATTGGGTGAGTCCATCAGTCAGTTTGGGTTCTGATATCATTAATATGTGTATGTACACTTCAACTTCAGGCCACCCAGGTGATGCTTCAATGTTTTGTCCCAGTGCCAAGTTTTGCAGCTTAGTCCTGCCAAGGCTAAATTGCTGTGGATTATTTTGGCCCCTGGATCTGGGGATTTTCCATCTTTATTCTTGGATAGGGTTCCCCTTCCCACATTCAACACTGCTGCACAATCTAAGGACTGTATTGGACTCACAGCTTCTGTTTCAATGGCAAGGACACCTGTGGCTAAGAAGATCTTTGCACAACTTCAGCTTTATCTGGTCTGCTAGTTGTGCCTATTCCTGAATCAGCAGGTCCTTTAGTCAGTTATTCATGTCCTAATCATTCACAATTAGGCTCTTGTAATGCATTGTAATGGGGCTGCCCTTGAAGACCACTTAGAAGCTGCAGCTAATTCAGAATGCAGCAGTGCAAGTAGACACCCATGTGATACTATTCCAAGCTGAACTGATTGCCAATAGCTTCTGAATATAGTTCAGGGTGCTATTTATCTCCAATAAAGCCCTTCAAAGCATAGGTCCAGGATATCTCCTGTGGTCTCTGCCCATTTGATATGCATTGGTTTCCTCAATTAAATGATGCCATTTATTGGGGACCAGAAGGTATGACTTCTCTGTCATGGTATCTGCCATCTGGAATGATATTCCCCGAGAGATGTTTATATCCCACTCTGATGGTGTTGTTGTTACACAAGTCTTTAAAAACCTGGCTCTTCTCCCAGGACTTAGAATAGGGTGTTTGTGAAGCTCTGGCTGGTTGGTTGTACAGTTTGTCCAGATGTTTAGGTTCTTTTGTTTTCCTATTTTAAATGTAAGTTGCACAGAGTTATTCTGGAGTCAAGGTGGGTTCTAAATCTACCAAATAAATAAATACATAAGTAATAGTTTTGACATTCCTTCCTCCAAATTCTAAATTTTGTAATTATGCTACTATTACAGTATAATATAATGGTACATTTGCTTTTTCTACATAAATATCTTTTTGAAGGAAAATCATGCATGGAGAATGTCCCTGATGATGTAAAGCTTTCCAACAATTTCATCACTGACTGGGTCCATAAATTGCCCTAAATCCTAATTTGTGTGCTTTAGCTAACCATGAGGAAGGAACCCAGCATGTATTATGGCTTAACTTGATATGTGAAGCCAATCACTATAAATCATTCAACCAGCATTGTTAAAATAAAACTGTGTCTTAGCATGCTGCTAAGAAATTGATATACAACAGATGTTAGAAATTGCATTTTTACCTAAAGCTCATGTATCTTCCTGTAAAGGTACTATGGCACTATTGCACTATTGCACTAAAGGTACTATTGGAAGATATCAGATTGTCCAGCAACATTGCAATTTCTTGAATTTCAGATACCAACATTTCTAACTCTGAAAATTGTTAGATAATCTATCTATTTGATAATTGAGTCATAATATTTTAAGAAGACTCTTTTAAATAGCTTATACCCAGAATTAATTTAAATCATATATTTTATTATTATTATTATTATTTATTCAATTTATATACCGCCCTTCTCCTAGTGGACTCAGGGCGGTGCACAGCCAAAACTAAAATACATAACAATACAAAATTTAAAATTAATTAAAAGAATTATATACTTTGGCCTGAATTAAAACAATGCGAATTAAAACCCATTAACAGATTAAAACTAAACAATTAATAACCATTAAAAACTAAAAAAGGAGGTGGGGTTCACGCCAGCCCTGCTTGCTGGAAAAGAAGAGTTTTCAGGGCATGGCGAAAGACCCGGAGATCCGATATCCTTCTTATCTCCGGGGGCAAATTTTAACTCCCTATATTTTACATTGACCCAAGCATAGAGTGATTTTTCTCTTCTCCTTCATTACACATTTATTTTATCTAAATGTGTTAATAAAAAGAAAATGTGTTTGGTTGCAGACCATTGGATACAGCAGATATTTGACTGCCGTAAAACTGTTACTTTTTACTTTGTTAGCCTGATTTTTTTTCAAAAAAATTTTGTCTCCTAGAATTAATGATATTGCCAACTTGTGTGCAGAATTAACTGCTTGCTGTACTGTCCTAAGTTCAGAGTGGTTAGGAGTCTTGAAAGCCCTTTGCTGTTCTTCAAACCATGTCTGGGGATTTAATGATCTTCTCTGCAGCGTGGATGTAAGTGCAAAAGATGCACTTAAAACGATAAGTCTGATTTTTATCTTGCATGGTATTTGTAGATTTCTTGTATAATAACAAGGCAGATAATTCTTTGATATTATGCTTCTTACATGTAACACAATATTACTGTGTTTCCCTGAAAATAAGACCCTGTCTTATATTTTTTTGAACCCTGAAATAAGCACCTGGCCTTATTGCCATGCACTCAAAAGCCTGATTGGGCTTATTATCAGGGGATATCTTATTTTGGGGGAAACAGGGTAGTTGTTAAATTACATGAGTCATTCCTGAAACCTGTTGGGTAACAGTCTATCCTCCATATTAATCTACCCAGGCCTCGTGCTCTGGAGAGGACACTCCAGCTTTGCATACAGCATTGAAACAACACGGGAAGTGGCAGTTACCGGTTATAAGTCTTTGCTTGATTGGCGTAGAGCGTGACGCCAGGGGCCACTTTCGTTGGTGGGGGGATTGCCATTCTCGAATTGGCCTTTTTAGTCACACTAGATGCTCTTTTAGGACCTCTTTCCAGAGCACGATACCATAGTCTCTTGAGACTGAAGGATGCCAATGAACCATTCCTGAAATGTTCTGTGTTTTCCACTGGTTTCATGAGAGATTTCAGGAAAGATTTTACCTGATACCAGAGTATAAGGCAGGGGTGTCAAATTGGAGGCCCATGGGCCAGATGTGTCCCATACAGGCCATGCCCAGCCCAGCTCCACAAAGGGAAAAACCGTCGCGATACATCACATGATGGCAACATGACCAGAGATGGGTTTCAGCAGGTTCTGACCAGTTCTGGAGAACCGGTAGCGGAAATTTTGAGTAGTTCAGAGAACCCGTAAATATCACCTCTGACTGGCCCTGTCCCCATCTATTCTCTGCCTCCCGAGTCCCTGCTGATCAGGAGGAAAGGTGGATTTTGCAGTATCCTTCCCCTGGAGTGGGGTAGGATGGAGATTTTGCAGTATTCTTCCCCTGCCAAGCCCACCAAGCCTGCCCACCGAGCCATGCCACACCCATCAAGCCATACCCACAGAACCAGTAGTAAAATTTTTTGAAACCCATCACTGAACATGACGCAGTGAGTTTGACATCCATGGTATAAGGGAAAGCAGTAATTTGAAAAACCTTCAACTGTTCATTGAAGTCCAAGGACTTTTCTCTATAGAACTTTTTAAACATTGAATTAATTAACTTTTAATAGAATAGTGGAATTAATAAAGTTGAACTGAAATTAGGTTAGCATTTTATGAACACTTTTATTCTTCTGGTTTGGGGGATAATTCCCCATTGACAAGATAACTGAATCAAGGTATCTTGTCTTGGCATAATGTTATAATAAAGCCATTTCAGTGCAGTAGAACAAGTGTAGTCTGGTGGCAGCTGGATGTATCTACTTGTTGTGTTAATTGTGATGTAAATTACCTTTGCTGCTGAACACTGTTACTTTTGCCCCGAGTTGTATTACCTCTGTACATCAATGGTGACTTCATACTTTCAGACCTCTGACTTGCTGGGATCAAAGCAAGTTCAAAACCAGCAACTGATATATTGTGGCACAGAAGGGAAGGGTAAATCAATCAATAGAAAGAAATAGAAAACCATACAAAAGAAAACCATACTTCTACAAAATTAGATCCATGTTAAAAATATCATGTTTCTGTACTATCAAGTGAAACAAACAGAAATGTTGACCCTGGGTTTTTCCTTTTTCTTTTTCCTTTAAGGTGAGTGATCTTTCATTCCATGATTCGTTGGCTACCTTTGTTGCAATACTGATAGCTCGTCAATGTTTTTTCCTTGAGGATGTTGTTCAACACGTAGCTCTTCCTTCTTTACTTACAGCAGGTGAGGTTTCAATGTGTATTAAAACAATCAAAGTCACCACTTCTTGGGGAGAAAGATTTGCTAAGATTGTTTGTAGAACAATCCATTTGTTCACTAATTATCTCTTTGTGCTAGAAATCAAAGCATTTTATCTTTTTTTACATTTATAAATTGAACATGTTTTTTCACTATTTTTTTATCTGGGATGTTCTATTACTGCCATCAAATACTAATTTTGCTTTGGGCTTTGTTATAGTGTGTTGCACAGATGTTGTTTTCACTCACATGGTATTGTTTCTTCTAATTTTTATAAATTCATCCGAACTTAGATCTTGCATTATGTCTACTTGAAACCGCTTCTTAAAGTCTCACACAAATTCATATTTGGCTTTTTAAATACTTTTTACATATCTATTCTGTATTTTCCAGTTCCTCCATTGTTATTTCCCATAATACTTCCTTATTGTTACATCCAACATTTGTGTGTTTTTACAAATCATATTTCTTCAATCATATATTTCACATTTGTCATTTTTCTTCATAAATTGTCTTGTCAGTATCTATCAAATCTTCAAAATGCATTCAAAATGTTAAATAATAGTTTCAATATTTTCTTATTCCATACAAAGGTGAAATATTAAACTGGAAAAATAGATAACTAAACAGAATTAAAATATATTTATGAAAAAAGTATTTATAAAAAAACCTTTTATTTTGCGGAACATTTGATTTAGGAAGAATTTTCTTCAGAATTGATATGTGAAAGCCTTTATATATATTTTTTGTTTTATTCAAATGTTTAAAATCAGTTTTAAGGGTTTTTTTTCCCAGTATTTCATTATATTGACGATGACAATTTAATTTTCTATGATATAATGATAAAGTGGTACCCTTTTCTTAGCTTGTGGAGATCCAGATGCTGAGCCAGGGGCAAGGGTGACTTGCCGACTTCTTTTACATCTCTTCCAAACACCCAAGATTTCCCTACTGTCAAATGGTAAGAACTCCAAATTCATTTCCTCTTTTAAAGTACAATAGTTTTTGTGCCACTGAAGCAGAAATCAGTATTCCTAAAGCATATTGTTCTCTTTTTATACAGAAAAATGTTTTCCAGGAATTCGGTCATCTTGTGATCGCCGCCTTTTAAGTGCTGCTCACAACAGCATAGAAGTGGGAGCAGTATTTGCTGTTTTGAAAGCAATTCTTATGCTTGGTATGATCATGCTTTAAAGTTCTTCATGTACGTGTTTACTTTGAAGCTAGGCATATGGTCCTCAGAAGGATAGAGAATATTGGCCAAGTGTGATTGGATACACAAAGAATTTGTGTCTGGTACATAAGCTCTGAGTGTATACAAATATACAGTATGCATACAAACATAAGCTCTCAGTGTACATACAAACAATAAAGTGATAAATCATAACAATCATAAAAAACAAACAACAAAGTTATAAATAATAAGATAACCAATAGGAGAAGGTAATAGGAAAGATGAGAAGGATAATAGCAATATAGCCCATATTTTACTAATATAGCTAAATATCCTTAGGCAGGAGTCAGTGTTGGGGAATTAGGTGTTCAGCAGAATAATGGCAAGGCAACAAGTTTGTGTTTAGTTGTTTGGGCTTGCAATGGGATTTACTCCCAGATATACATTTGGATATTTACTGAAAACCTGATAGACTATAAACTTGAAACTTTTCTAGGAAGTGAATCACAGTGCCAGAAACATCTTCCAGGATGAATCATAGGTTAATAAAAGTACAAATGGAAGCTAGTATAGGGTACTGTATGAGATGATCTGGAAGGTACTGGTTAAAATATTGGACAGGCGGGCAGGCAGACAGAGCTGGGGGGAGTTAAATGTGTCATCAGCTTAGAGTCCTTACCTTGCCACAAATAATCCTAGTCCAGCCCCCCCAAATTCTGTTGACCCTTATCTAGCACCAATTTAGTGCTGACAGTTAGTTGACTAGATTCTTGTGTATAAGCCTAAATAAATCTTCTGTGCTTCAACCTCCAATCAGGTATGGTCCCGATCCTTTGCACTTGACATGGGCCAATAGAGTCCAGGTTGAACCCCCACTTGCCCACAGATCTCAGTGTTGACTTTGGGCAAATCACTACCTCTCAGCTCAACCTAAGAATTACGTTATTGTACTGGGTAAAAACAAAGATCCATTTACCTTTAAGCTCCTAGAAAAAAAGACAGGATGTAAAATTAAATAGCTAAATAACATAATGTCTACCAATCAGTATTCTTCCTCTTCAGTAATATAAATTCACCTTTAATGTGTTTGCTTATTTAAATATGTAACTTTGGTGTTGTATGGTATTGTTTCTTATTTGCTTTAACGTAAAATTTAAAAATGTTCATCTTACATACTTGTAAGAACTCTAGGATGGTAGCAAATTGTATCATACTATAGTATATGTAATTAAAGAAATGTTCTCTTTTCTAAAAGAGTAACCAGACATCCTCATATATTAAAATAATATACCAACAACTTCTAGAACTGGAAGTAGCATTAAGTAAAAATAAATTAAGAGGGCACTTAGGTAAAAGTCAAACTATATTAAAGGACTAATACACATTTTCATCTTTTTTTTTTTTTTTACTATTCCTACAATATAGGTGATGCTGAAATTGGAAGCAACAATATTCCCTCCTTGAAAAATTCTGATTACTCAGTACAAAGATTATTGGGAGATCTAAATGATGATGAGATATGGGAAGCTACCTCAAAGTCTTTGTATGGAAAAACCATTTCCATAGAAACTGCTACTCTCAGTGAATATGCTAGATATGTACTAAGAAGCATTTGTCAGCAGGTAACACTGGTTTCATTTTCCTTTATTATTGTGTACATAGATATAATTTTGGAAAAGTGACATTATTGCCATGCTCTAGGAATTGTGAAAGTTGGTAACTGCAGGCTTCCTGTGGTGTGCATAGGTCTGCACCACAGTGGTTCACACCACTGAAATTGAAGCCGTTACCCTTGCCAGTACTGTATATTATAGTAAGTGTAAATAGGATCAATGTGGAGTAACTGTTGGAGTAGGATCAAAGACAATCAAGAGATTGGTTTCTAATCTCTACTCGGCCATGTCCAGTCTCTATCTTAAAGCCTACACTGGAGCTAAGAGTATTATTATGATAAAATGCCAGTGACATATGCATTTTAACTCTTGCAAAGAAAAGGTGAGATATGAATACATTACATGTAATAACTACAATACTGAAAAGCGGTATTTTATTCAAAATAATTTCAAATCAGGTATACGGTAGAAATGACATCTACAATATTTGTGTTCAAGTCAGATCTTCAGTACACGTATTGAAGGTACAGTGCAAGATGAAATTAGACTCATTTTTTTGTCATAAAGATGTAATAGCTAGTATGAATTTCATTCTTTTTGAAAAATACTGTGTTTTTGTTATACATTCGAGTTACATTCAAGTTAAACATTTAAGTTTGGCTTTGACTTTTGCATTGATGCTTATTCTCCATCTAATTCAGGGGTCTCCACTCTTGGCAACTTTAAAACTTGTGGACTTCAACTCCCAGAATTCCTCAGTCAGCAAAGCAAAGCTGGCTGAGGAATTCTGGGAGTTGAAGTCCACAAATTTTAAATTTGCCAAGATTGGAGACCCCTGATCTAATTCTTTTGGTAGGAATGGGTGGGGGAACACTGCTTGAAAGAACCTGAGAGGCTATGTACCGACAAAGATCTTATCCTGGATCCAGTTCTCTCCAACAAACAAGCACAGAAATTGTTGCAGCTTATCTGTTACCCTCACAGTATTAAAGAATGCACAGAAGGGGACAACAATCCTCAGAGACAACATATCAAGCGCATTCTTCAGGTAACCCCATTTAAAATGAAATTATTTAAGTTTAGATTAAAAAAAAAGTTTGATTTGCTTTTTTCATTGCATTATTATTGCTTACTTTTTTCTAAGTGAAGTAAATATTTTGAATATTGTTTCATAATTATTGATAGCACTTAGATTTATTTACTGCTTCATAGTGCTTTACAGCACTCTGTAGTTTTACACATTTTACAGAGTCGGCATATTGCGCCCTTCAATCTGGGTCCTCGTCTCTTACCAATGTCAGAAGGATGGAGGGCTGAGTCAACTTTGAGCCCATTAGGACCAAACTCCAGGCCGTGGACAGTTAGCCTGCAATACTGCATTCTAACCACTGCACCATAACCAAATGTTAAACAGTGCACAATTATAAAGATGGAATAATTGATTCATAGAATGGAATCAATTCTAATTGATTGGGTATTATCTAATCAAATTGCCTCAGTTTGAGAATCTGTTACTATAGACTTCCTGACCATCACGGTCTGGCCTCTATTTAAATATTTCTTATATTTAGGACAATTGTAGGACAATCTTCTACCAATTTTTGGTTATTGTTTTTTGGATGCAATTAAATTTGTCAGTGTCTTTGCTAAACTTTTAATGCTCAGAACTATACACTGTATTCTAGAAATTGCCTGATATAATATTGCTATTGGAGAAGGATAGCTGCATTATACTATTGTTGTGATCAGGGGTGAAATGCTCCTGGTTCAGACCGGATCGCCCGATCCGGTAGCGATGGCGGTGGGTGGTTCGGAGAACTGGTAGCAAAAATCCCTGCCCCCTCCTATGCCCAGCTGAGCCGCGCAATCATCAGAGGCTTTTTTTTAATTTTTAAAAGCATTTTTTCTACAACCTCTTCGGCCAAAAAAATGCTTTTAGAAATAAAAAAAAGCCTCTGATGATTGTGTGGCTCAGCTGGGATCGTCAGAGGCTTTTAAAAGCATTTTTTCTACAACCTCTTCGAAGAGGTTGTAGAAAAAATGCTTTTAAAAGTGTCTAACCATCCCAGCTGAGTTGCCTGATCGTCAGAGGCTTTTTTTGTTTTAGAAGTAAAAAAAAAAAATTGGTCACTTCCACCCAGTCACATTAACCCCCCCCCCACCAAGCCACGCCCACAGAACCAGTAGTAACAAATTTTACATTTCACCACTGGTTGTGATGCAGGCTGTGATTCATCTTTTACTCATGTAATATGGTCTACAATTATCCTCAGATGCATCATGGATCAAGTTGGAAAACATTGAGTAGCATACTATTACAAAGCAGTCTTTTAGGCCCAGTGCTATTCCATCTGACTGGGTGGCTCAGTGTCTAAGACACTGAGCTTGTTGATCAGAAAGATTGGTGGTTCGTGAGCAGGGGGTTGGACTAATGACCTCCAAGGTCCCTTCCAACTCTGTTACTGTTACATATTTATACATAACTTGGATTAAGAAATAAAGATAAGATCATCACTTCTACAGGGGTCACAGAGATGGAGGGGAAAACAAACAACAATTTGACAACAGTATACAACTCAAGAGAATCATAAAAGATTGAAACAATTAGAAGAAACTAGCAAGTGGAATTTTCACAGAGACAAATGCAAAGTCCTAGATTAGAATATGGAAACTCAAAGGCATATGTACATGCCTTTGGCATTCCCATTGTTAAACTAGATTTGAACGGAAGACAAACTTTGATCATTGCTATAAGGTTATATTCCTCTTCTGCAGCCCCATTTTCTTAATTTAATCCATCCACAGGATTCTGCCAGCAGGAATAAACAAAATTAGCTGCATCCAATATACATTTATAAAAATTTTGTTCATTTGACATAATAAAAACATACATCAACTTTATTAATGAAAATAATAATTTTAGAAATGTTATGAAGAAAAATTTTCTCCTCCATTTTTTTGATCCAGAATATAGACCAGTGGACTCTTAGACAGTCATGGCTGGAACTTCAGCTAATGATCAAACAGTGTCTGAAGGAACCTGTAAGTATTTCTTCCTTTCTTTTTAATTAATCATGTATCTTTACAGAATAACTTAGTGTATGAGCAAACATAACATGAATGCGCTAGTTTACTTATGTTTTACTGTAGGGTTCTGGGTCTGTGGCTGAAATGAACAGCTTGTTGGATAATATTGCAAAGGCGACAATAGAAGTGTTTCAGCAATCCGCTGATCTAAACAATAACTCTTCTAACTCTGGTATAGGCCTCTTCAATCCAAACTCTCTTGGAAATGCTGACACACATATTACAAGGCAGAACTGTAAAAAGACATTCCTAAGGTAATGTAATCAATCTGAATTGGAAACGATGAAATTGTGTGCACTTTTTTAAAAATAGAAGCTCTTGAGAGTGGTCTACTCACAAAGACTGCTGCTGAATAATTGTGGTTTTAACTCTGAGAAATATAGTGTGCTGAACCAGAAATCTTCACACAACACTAATTTCTTCTGCATGCAAAAACTATTTCCTCCAAAGAGTACCTGGGCATGCAAGAATGTCTTCATTCTCTTGATTGTTTACTAAATACAGACTAAAGAAGATAAACACAATGTTAGCTGCAGGCTAAATAAATACTTTGAGTCAATGAATTAAGAATTTGACACCATAATCTTTCTCTGATTTAGAAATAAAATGGTTTGTTGAAATTAATAAAATTTCATTTTAAAAGAACATAAGTTTCAAATTAGACCTGACTCCTTGGTGAACTCTACTTTTTTTTAACTTTAAGTTAACTTTAAATAATTGTTAGTTTAAGATGAGATATAGTTTCTTTATTTTTCATTTCTAACAAGTTGATTCTTAATGGGAAGAAATAAGAAATTTCTATCTAAGCAGACTACATCCAGAGTGTTAGATTAGGAATTCTAAATAATACTTAGTCAAACTGAATTTAATTCACTCACTCATTCACTCACTCATTTACTCATTCAGTCATTCAATTTCCCATCTCAATCAATGCCTCTGGACAGCTTAAAATTGAAAAATTAGTTGTAAACTATTACAGTGTTTTCCCGAAAATAAGACCCTGTCTTATATTTTTTTGAACCATGAAATAAGTACTTGGCCTTATTTTCAGGGAGGTCTTATTATTTTGGGGCACATGGTGCAAGAAGGGGCTCCTCTTGCTCTCTTACCTGATTTCCAGCTTTGTCTCCCTAACCCTAACCAGAGGAAATGGCGGGGACTGGCAGCACATGCGTTTAAATATTTTTGGGGAGGGCTTATTTTGGGGGAGGGTATTTTCAGGGGGGGTTATTTTAGTGCATGCGCTCAAAAGCCCGATTGGGCTTATTATGAGGGAATGTCTTATTTTTGGAGAAACAGGGTAATACCCTATCCAGTATATATATGTTGCCTTTCTTCCCAAGGCATAAAGTGGCATACATAGCATTCTCTCTTTTAGTTTTTTCTTTTCAAAACAAAACATGACTGGCCAAAATCATACAGTGAACATCCACCATGGCTGAGGGTTAACTTGGACCTGACTCTTCCCACTGCTATTCTAACACCTACATACCTTATACCATACCAGTTCTCAGTTTAATCTAAGATTTATTCAATTCTTATTTAACCTTTATTTATAACCCTATGGGGTTCTGAACCTTTCCGGTTGTGGTGTCCATTTGGGAAGCAGTTCCAGGGAGGGAGAGGGCCTAGGATGATGCTGCAGGAAGATGTTCTCATGTTTCTTTCTGGTGCGAAGCCAGCTCACCCTCCTGTGGCACACCTTGGAAAGCATGTTGGCGTTTTCTTCAACAGAGCTGGTAACTTGGCAGCCAAAGTACTACTCTGCAATAGCATTGTGGTCTTCTGGCTAATATAACAATGTCATATGATGATGATGATGATGATGATGATGATGATGATGATGATGATACCCTGTGCAGAACTCTGTGCCTTATTTTAAGGCATATAGTAGATTACTAAAATCATATATATATGACAGGCCTGAAAGTGATGATTGGAGAGATCATCCCACTATGGCCATTTAACAACTTTATCTACATAGGAAAAAAACCCTGAATACAAAAATATCATACATTTGAGCCTATGAATTAAAAAGAATAAATATTTGACCTTTACAGGGAGGAGTCATAAAATATGGGTGTGGCTGGTCGATGAGGTCCAAAAAGACCGAAATAGTGCTATCCCAGTCTCCCATAAGTCTCAGAATAAACAACACAAAATGTCTGACAGGCCTGAAAGTGATGATTGGAGAGATCATCCCACTATGGCCATTTAACAACTTTATCTACATAGAAAAAAAAAACCCTGAATACAAAAATATCTCATATATATATATATATTCAAATGTGAGAAAAAGTACTGAATATATTGATATTCTGCTCAAAAATCTTATTTGTTTCATGTCTTTAGCTCTTCTGAAAGACAAGGTGTCTGGTTAGTGGCTCCCCTGATTGCAAAGCTTCCGACATCTGTTCAAGGCCGAGTCTTGAAAGCAGCTGGAGAAGAACTAGAGAAAGGCCAGCACTTGGGATCATGTTCAAAGAAGGAGAGAGACAGGCAAAAACAGAAGAGGTAGAAGATACTGGAAAATATGGTTGTATTTTAAACCAGTAATCTCTGCTGCAAAGATGAGCTGTAGAATTTGATCCTTCTTTAAAGAAACCAGTAGAAACTAGATTTTGTTCTGGGGAAAAAAAAAACCCAACTGTGGTATATTCATTTTTAAGAAAATGAACACAGTAAATTCTTAAATGAAATGAGTCTACATTTGGTACTCCCTATTACTATGAATATTGTGTTTTGAAAACTAACCTAAATACTTATCCTGAAGACTACAAAAAAGTAATAAAAGTAACTTATTTTGTCCTTAATTTACACATGAAGCTAACTACTTTTACAGTAGATCTACTTACCACAAATATACTTTTTTATCTTTTTAAGTAAATATTAGGATTGTGCCTAGGAATTTGGTAAATCATGAGATACTAAGATGTCTTTTACTGAAAAATATTCCACTAATTCCACTGATTCATGTCTAAATTTGGAATTTTCTTTCTTTTCTCTTATCATCTACATCAAATTTCATATTTCAAAATTAAATTTATGCCATTAATTAGTATTAATTTGTCTTGAATTAATTCTCAAAAAAAGAATTAAATAACACTTTGTTACCAAGATGAGAAATGCTCCTTGCTAAATGTTCTTTGAGTTGCTTGGTAACCTAAATAGCCTCAAAAATTGCATACTATTTTTGTCACCATGAAAGTAAAATATAAAATGGAAGAACAGGAAAAACAAGAATCTTATACTTCTTTACCTTGTCTCTAATAGGATGAGCTGAGTCTCAAAGTACAAGACGATTTGAGATGCTTATATTTCATGAGAAAAAAAAGTCACACATCTCTCATTATTAGGCAATATTAAATTATTTGCCTAAACAGTTTTGTGCTTGCTATCCTGAAGAATCCTATGTAAATTGATTTATAGATCACTACAGAATTTTTTTAAAAAAATATTCTTTCTAAGATGCATTTTTCAATAGCAGGAATGTGTACTTCTATAAATTATTATTTTCAGAAACTATTTATTCCTGCAAAAGTTATCAATGTTTTGAAGAAGCTTCCTACTTTTAGAGTATTTTATTTACTTATTTATCACATTTACAAACTGCCCATCTGCCTCACAGAATGACTCATAAGGGAAGCTCTCTTGCCTGGACCGTAGTCCGTTTGACACATCATTCTGGTCACATGCATGAGTAAAGGCAGGAACAATTTTGTGGTTTTTAAATAGTGATGAGAGTTTATAAAGAAATCCTTTTAGAGAAATACTGAAAAGGGGAAGGAAGAATTTGAAGAGAGGAAGTATCAGAAAGACACATCTAATTCAGTGTTGTTGTTTTTTAAAGTATGTCTCTTCTGAGTCAGCAACCATTCCTATCTTTGGTACTCACTTGTCTGAAGGGACAGGATGAACAGCGTGAAGGGCTTCTAACATCTCTGCAAAATCAAATTAATCAGGTAAAAACCAGACAATGTCATGCTCTGCATCTATTAAAAACCAATTAAAGTAATGGACTGAGGCAGAAGGGAAATCATACCTCAAACTATATATGTGCCTTTTGTAGCAAAATCAGTGAAAGGAATTCATTCATAAATCTTGTTTATCCATTTTTAGTATTCTACAAAATGTGCTGAATTTTTCAGAAATTGAAGTAGTCACCAGACAAATAATAACCTGTTCCTTGAATTATACTAGTAGTCTTGTTCCATTTTAGTAAGGCCTTCCAGATCTTTTTATAGGAATAATATGAAATTCAAATGAACTCTTACATTTATATGAACTTGGTGAGATATTTAATTATTTTTCATTGTAATCTCCTATAACACTTGCCTTTGTACCAATGGAAGCTTATATGGCAAGGAGAATTGGCTTTTGAGGCACTAAGACACAATATCCACATGAGTCCTGTCCAGCAGCTGTGCAACTATCTATTAAAACCTGTCCTACATATTAAAGTAAATGAGGTAGTAGAATTAACAACCCCTTTTGTATTGGATTTGGAGCATGTATTACTGTTGAATTTTGTGTAAGAAAAAATTAGTGCATCAAAATTTAACCCATCCCACTTTCAAAGTATTTTCTATAAGTCCTTGATTTATGTCCTACCAGAAAAAGGGTGTCAGGCTTCCGACAAATGCCCTAATTAAATCATGAGCCTCAAGCCAAGCTTCAAAAGAAATCCACTTATTTATTAGGAGTTATATGCTGGCACGGACCAGGTGGAGCCAACTCTGACCTCAGTTAATTCACGCTTTGTCTCTGTTTGACTCTGTTTCCCCATCCCCCCAATCCCCCCAATATGTGTCATCAGTCACATTCTCCAACGAAGCAATTTCGTGGGTCGTAAAAGTCACTCCTTCCGGCCACTGTGGGTTTCCATGGAGACAACCTTGGCGTAATGGTTGGAATGTGCCTTGTTTTGACTGAGATACCAGCTCCTTGATGCAGCTGCAAAGTTCCCCATCCCGCTTGCCTATGGAACTCAAGAGCAAGTCAGGGATGCTTTGCGAGTTGACAAAGGGGACATGCGACCCAGATCAAAAGTTCCTATGTTTCCCCCCCATGTCATGTGACCACATTTTGGTGCATGGCAACACACCCACATTTACATCCATTTACAGAATGCCACAGTCATATGGTCATATTTTACGCTGGTTTTGTAAAAACCCAGCATTTCCAGTTTTCAACAAAGTGAACAAATGGGTTTGTTTAACAATTGCGTAATTTGCTTTTATGATTGTCACATTCACTTAATGGCCACCACAAAAAAGTTGTAAAATTACATAGTAAAGTTACCAGTATTATGACTCATGGCCATAATCTGTACACTCCACTATGGCCATAACTCGAGGACTACCTGTAAATGCATAGGGCAAGTGGAAATATATAATCAGCCTGTTTCAAAAAACACCTTGTATTGTCTAGGAAGGATATTTACTATTTACCTTGTTAATATGGGATTTTTATATAGATATTACTAGAGGAAAGCCAGTTTGAATAAGGCCCTGGGTTAGAAATCAAGAGCCTATGTGTTCTAGTCCCACCTTAGATACAAAGCTAGTTGGATGATCTTGGGTCATTTTCTCTCAGCCCTAGGAAAGAAGCAATGATAAACCTCTTCTGAAATCTTGCTACAAAATATTAAAATTATTCTTTTAACTGACAGAATATTTTCCTTTGAAGAATTTCAAAATAAATGTTATAATAGGAAATAATACAGTAGTTTTCTATATGTGTAGCATTCTGTTTAAAGGGATGAGACAGAATACATAAAGCAAGCAGAAGTGCAATAGTGATCAAATAAAAAAAGAAATGTACAGGAAAATTCTGCAGAAAATAACAGAATAACAGAGTTGGAAGGGACATTGACGGCCTTCTAGTCTGACCCCCTGATCAAGTGGAAATCCTATAATATTTTAACCCCTGTAATATATTAAAAAGACATATTATGTTATACAGGTCTAGGTAAATAAATAACGCACATCAGTGCAAACTGTATTTTTCTTCCTAGATATTAAGCAACTGGAGGGAAGAACGATACCAAGATGATGTTAAAGCAAGACAAATGATGCATGAGGCATTACAACTCCGTCTTAATTTGGTAAGAAAGAATAATATTTATTTTCTTAAGGGGATATTTGTTTATTATTTAGAATAATGCTGTGCCTCTTCTCAGAGTGATCTTCCAGGCAGCCTGAAGCAGAAAGGGGCTTATAAGGTTTCTTACTTTAATTATTGTCCCTTATACTCTCTAAATACTGTATTGCCTTACAATTTAGATTTATTGATTGATTGATTGAGTCTATTTCTTAACTTAATATTTGAAGAGATTTAAACTAGTGGTATCACAAATATAAGATTAAATAAGGATGACACTTATAGACAATGTGATAAATCAAACATCAGAAAATAACTGGACAGAAGAAAAAACAATTCCTACAGCTTCCTTCCCGTGGATTACAAAAAGTCCAGGCGAACAAAAAAAATAGTTTTTATCACATATTAATTGCTCTTAGGTTATCCTTCATAGTCATATTTTCACCCCTACCTAATCTGCTTGGAATTCTGCACACAATACAATATTGTAGTCTAAAGCATCTAAAACATGCAGGTTTACTAATAAAGAATAGTTAGAAAATAAAGATTGTACAGTACATTTGGTTTATTTTTTTTTATATCTATTTTTTTTCAACGCTTCAATTCTAGGTTGGTGGAATGTTTGATACAGTGCAAAGAAGTACTCAGTGGACCACAGACTGGGCACTTCTACTCCTTCAGATAATAACATCAGGGACTGTTGACATGCAAACCAATAAGTATGTATCCTCTAATGCACATTATATATTATGGCTTCTAGTATTTTGAGTAACAATATTATTTGTAAAGCAAAAATTACCATTTATTTTGCACAAATGGAAATATTTATTTATTAAATTTATATGTTATCCATCTCACTATCAAGTGACTCTGGGCAGCATATAAATTTAGTAAATAAATAGCGTGTTTCCCCGAAAATACGACCTACTCAGAAAGTAAGTCCTAGCTTGATTTTTACATGTGCGCCCAATATAAGCTTTAGCCCCCAAATAAACCCTAATTAAAACCCCGCCAACTCCAGGGTGCACAGGAAAAAATTAAGATAGGGTGGGGATGGGGGGGATGGAGCTGCCCTACTACTTACCTTCAGACAGTTGCAGCAGGCCTAGCACACCTCGGTCCATTTCTTCTGCAGCCAGCAAACCTTTCATGAAGCTTCTCTAACCGATAAGAGAGCTCCGGATCAATCTGGAGTTCTAACTGTATTTTCTTTTAAACTAATTTCAAAAGTAAATTCTCCAAGTTCTATTCATGAGCTTTCTTAAATTAAGGTAACTTCACTACCTTGGATTCAGCCGAGGATATGAATGTGGATTGGCTATAGTGCTGGTTACTGTTTTAGAACAAGGTAAATATGGTAATGTTTGTGTTGACAGTGTAGGCTTGGCTGCTCCTCAACATTTATAAATAGAATAAAAATAGAGCGTGGAAGACGATATTACTTCACAATCTGATTTGAAATATTGCACAAAGTTTATGGTGTCACATGGTATTTCTCTTTAAGAATAACAGTGGCAGATGCCTTTCCTTTTTTTAAACATAAACTCTGTCCTTACATTCCTGCATGTGACTTTGCAATCCAAGTTTAAAAATGTGGGGCTTGTGTCATGATGTCATGATACACACAACTAAGATGATTAAGGGCCTGGAGATGAAAATATATGAAGAATGGCTGCAGGATTTGGGTTTGGTTAGTCTAGAGAAAAGAACAATTAGGAAGGACATGATTGCAGTAATTCCAGTATTTGAGAGGCTGCACAAAGAGGAGGAGGTCAATTTATTTCCCAAAGCACCAGAAGGCAAAGCAAGAAACAAGGGTTGGAAACTAATCAAGGAGAGAAGCAACCTGGAATTAAAGAGAAATTTCCTAACAGTGAGGACAATTAACCAATGAAATAGCTTGCCTTCAAAAGTTGTAGATGCTTCATCACTGGAAGTTTTTTTTAAAAGACTGGACAGTCACCTGTCTGAAATGGTATAGGGCTTGAGCAGAGGGTTGAACTAGGAGACCTCCAAAGTCCCTTCCAGCTCGATTCTGATTAATGTCATCATTTTGGCATCTTTGTGTCTAATTGCCAACAGACAACTTGCAATGATTTAAAATTGGAACATAAGTATGTAATATAGCATTTGTGTGATGATTTTGTTGCACATGTGTAATTATTCTGTCATTATCTTAGTTTGCTGTAGGACATGCTACTTCCTCATCCTTGAGTTGATGTAAAAGTGGATCATTTGACACTCTAGAAAGAAATATTAAGCCTCTTAATAGGTACTAGTACAGCTCTTCAGAATATAATTTGTTTGTTTCTTTTCCCTTTTTAGTGAATTATTTACAACAGTGCTTGACATGTTGAGTGTTTTGATCAATGGAACTTTAGCTTCTGACCTCTCAATTGCATCTCAAATGGGATCTGAAGAGAACAAGAGAGCATACATGAATTTGGTGAAAAAACTCAAAGTGTGTTTTCATCTGACCCTTGAATTCTGTAAAATGTTTAGTGACTAATGTGTGGGTTAGAAATTATGAAACTGTGAGTTCTAGTCTTCCCTAGGGCTCAAAAATTGTTGGGTGATATTGGGTCTATCATTACCTATCATCCTGACCTATTAAAAAAACTTTTTGTTGTGGGGAAATTAGGAGTCAGGAGCAGGCTACCAATGCACTTTGAATTGTCCAAAAATAAAAGTGTGATAGGATAGATAGATGGATGGATGGATGGATGGATGGATGGATGGCATACTGAATAAGGAAATCTGAAATTGTAGTGACACCATACATTTGAAAGATTTCAAATTGGGGAAGACTGAAACAAAACATGAGCTACCTCTGTGAAATTACTAGGAGAACATTTACATTTTGAGGTGGTTCATTTTCCAAATTTTAAATTGTCTGGCCTCAGCTGCAATCTGAGCAGATTATAGTATTTCCAGCTGTAGAACCCTTTTAATAATAAATTAGCAAACAAACACACAGTAGCAATAGACTAACTTGATTAATTAAGAGGAAGTGTACACAAACAATGTGATTTAAATCAAAGTTATAAATATAACATTTCCTTTCTTTCAAAAAGCCACTTCCTCATGTGAATTAGCTGTGCTCAATGTGAAAAAGCTTATGTTTATTCTATGGCTAGATAAAACATTCAGTTTGAATTCTTCCAACTTTTTGTCCGAGACAATTCCTGGCTTCCCCATTAAAAACGGGGATCAAGTAGTATGTGATGCAAAAAATTGCAGTTGAAACCTTGGAATTTTTTTTCAGAGTAGAAGATAGTCAACTATATGGACAAATAATCTGACATGCTACAAGATACCTTCCCTGTATTTCTGTTAGAAATATTAAGATCCTCATCAAGTAATATTGGTATGGAAGTAGCATTAAGCATATTTTAGAAACAAAAGGGCCAGATTTTTTGCATTACTGCTTTAAAAATTCTTGGTAGCAAATGGTAGGAAAAACTTCTGCTTGATTATGCTTTTCAGAATACTTAATCCTGATATTGTGATTTGGTTTAATGCTAAAATAAGGATCTGATGTCCATAGCTCTAAGATGAGAGAGTGAGAGAGGGAGGGAAGGAGAGAGAGGGAGAGAGAGAGAGAGAGAGAGAGAGAGAGAGAGAGAGAGAGAGAGAGAGAGAGAGAGAGAGAGAGAGATCCTGCAATTAATTTTTGTTCTAGGAAAAGAAAAGCTGATGAAGCACTTTTCAAAAGCTGTGCTACACAACTTGAATAAAATTAGTAAAAGTACAAGGAAATGATTCATCTGAAACTTCTCCAGCTTTGAGTTCCGATTTTTTAAAACTTTTTTTTTTGCCTTTTTGTCCTCTTGTAGAAAGAATTGGGCGATAAAAGTTCAGAAAGTATTGACAAAGTTCGTCAGCTCTTGCCATTGCCCAAGCAGATGTGTGATCTTATTGCCTGCGAGCCTATGGGATCACTGATTGATACGAAGGGAAACAAAATCGCTGGATTTGACTCCATAGATAAGAAACAGGCAAGGACAAGCATTTTCTTTAAAACCTTCCTGATGTATCAACTTTGTCACGAACATAATTTTGTAGAAACTTTAATATATTCCTTTGTTTCATCACATATTTATACATGCTTCAATTCAACATATAAAATATCATTCAATCAATTGTATCATTATGTACATGATATTACTGATATTTTTCTCTGGTGATTATATGCATCACTATTTTAATAGTAAGCTCATAAACTGCAATTATAGGAATTTGGAAATTAGAAGGAAATTGTGATCAAGCAAACTTTCATTTTACACTTTTTTTAAAAAAAACCAGGGACTCCAAGTCTCAATGAAACAGAAAGTATCTCCATGGGATTTACTGGAAGGCAATAAGAATCCAGCTCCATTGTCTTGGGCTTGGTTTGGAACTGTTCGCATTGATAGGAAAGTCATAAAATACGAGGAGCAGCAGCACCTTCTTCTTTACCACACACACCCTAAACCTAAGCCACGAAGTTACTACCTCGAACCTTTACCTCTTCCTCCTGAAGAGGAGGAAGAGGAAGAAGAGCCTACCACTCCTGCATCTCAGGAACCAGAAAGAAAGTCAGCAGAGCTTTCAGATCAGGGAAAACCTTCAGCAGATGAAGAAAGAAAGGGTAAAGGCAGAAAAAGAAAGACAAAAGCAGCTTCCAAAACTGATGTAAGTGGTTAAAAAGTCTAAAGTTTTTTTTTTTAAAAAAGTGGTCCTTCATGAATTGGCCATCTTATCAGGTATGGTAACCATCAGATGATTTCATTCATGATTCCATTGACTTTTATCTACCACCCCTTTCCTTTGACCGTTAGTAGTCCAGGTTCTTGTAGAGAGCTTGTTGTTGTTGTTAGTTGTGAAGTTGTGTCCGACCCATCGTGATCCTATGGACAACATTCCTCCAGGCCTTCCGTTCCTCCAGGCCTTCCTTTCTGACTCCATCCAGTCCCCTCATTCTCTGTCATCCCCTTCTTCTTTTGCCCTTAATTGTTCCCAACATTAGGCTCTTCTCCAATGAGTCCTTAGTGAGCTTAAGCTTGCAATAAACCTTTATGTGCATTTGAACTGACTATGATTTCCTGATTTCCCATGCTTGTCAGGAAAGGTGTTTTGGAGCTTTGGAAGAGAGATGAGTGGCTTCCCACACTCTTAAAAATGGGCTGATAAGATTTTCATCCTGACCTTTTTGAGTGATGTTATTGCATCACTAGGTGACATCTTGCTACACTTCAGAAGGATAGGAGACAAAACTACTACTCAGTCCCTCTAATATGTCCCATTCTAGGGGCATTATAGAAGCTACATTGCCAACCTTTGCTTTATAGAAGCATATAGTTTACTAACTATAGTTAGTAAACTATAGTTTATTTTTGGATAATAGCTTTCTTTTTTTGAATCAATTGCCTTTTGGATAAGAGTGATAGCTTTTCAGTACTAGCGAGTGTATCTTTCATCGTAAGTGGCTTGTGGAACCATCATAAGCTTCATAGGAGTCATTGCTTTCATGACTGATTGCTTAATCTCTTGGCACTCACAAGTACAGCACTTAGTCATCTCTGCTGATTTAGCAGATCAGTTTATGTGTCTTTCTAAGACTTTTGCAGAACTGCTTCCTTCCTTTTTCAAGACTGAGACAGCATTGCTTTTTGGGATGGGGTGGGGGTAAAACCATTGATGGGCCACCAGATTCAGTTCTATAAATGGCTCTCCTGATACTTGAAATATTTTTAAAAATTCTCACATATTTTCGGAAAGCAAGGTAAAGTTATAGGGTGGGCTTCAAAATTTTTAGCAAGGGGTTCTCTACCTGGTTGCTGGGTGGGCATGGCCATGGTGGGTGTGGCCTAATTGGCCTCCTGCACCATGGTGGGGGGGTGTTTTTGCCTTCCCCGGGCTCCAAAGGCCCTTCTCGAGCCTCCGGGAGGGCAAAAACAGCCTCCCCAGGGTCTAGAGGCCCTCTGGAGGTCAGAAATGGGCCCATTACTGGCCTTCCCAAACTTCCAATAGGCCCGTTTTTCACCCTCTCAGAGCCTCCATGCGCCCTGCACTTACCTGCATCCAAAACAGGCCACGTGGAGACTCCTAGGAGGGGCAGGGTAGGGTGGGCATGGCCAGCCAGGAGTGGGATTTGGGGGTTTTCCAAACTGCACAGAATCTTAACTAGAGATTCTCTCGAACCCCTGAGAACCCCCAATATCCCACCCCTGGTTATAGGAGATGTTTTAGTTTGAATCCTATCCTGTCAATGAAATTGAAACGAGATAATAACAAATATTTAAAATTCCAAAATTAATTTATAGAACTGGCTACACTGTTGTAGCCAGTTCTATAAATTAATTGAACTTTAATTCAGTTTTCTTTTCTAAGCAGTCCTCCCAGTCCTCTTGAATCATCTTCATGTAAAATCAATTCAGATATGCTTCAGAAAATATTCTCCTGCTACATAATGCTTAATGAAGGGTTAAAATTAGAGAACTATTTTAGGACTCTAATTTCAATACATATTGCAATAGATTCATTGTATAGTGGTTCTCAAACATTTTGGTCTCAACACTCCTTTACATTCTTAAAAATAATTGAAGGCCCCAAAGCATTTTGGTTTATTGTATATGGGTTTTAAAATATTTATTTAGGCTGTTGGTTTGAGCTCCGAGCTTGGCAGTGTGGTTGCAAACGTTTCATCACCTTCAGAACTTTGCAACCACATTGCCAACCTCGGAGCACAAACCAACAGCCTAACTACCAAACCGAGTTACTAATATTCAAACACATTTCAAACTATTTATTTATTTAACTTTTCCTGACCACTCTGAGAAATTCTGTCTTTACACCCACTTGATTTTAGATTGTATTACAAGTTATTAAGCCCTTCAGTGAAATGATCAATAATGGGCAATTTCCTCAATACTATGAAAATGCAATTTCACATTTCGAAATACATTTGAAGAAAATATATTGTTCACTGAAGCCCAACAAACCTAAACAGTGATACATACTCATCACATACATCTTAGAGCATGCTCAAGAGTCCTTGACAATGCACAGGGATACTGTGGCATGAAAACAAATACGGAAAGCATTTCCTGAAATTATAAAATTTAGAAAGCTTCATTTTAAAAATTTAAATTTATTTATTATTACCTAATTCCTTCCTGTAATTTGCTTCCCAGCATATGTTTCTAATTGGCTAAATAATGATGCTTTGATATAATTATAGGTGCAGTTAGTAGATTATGGGATGCAGAAAAATAGTAGAAAATTAAGCATTATGAGACAACCAAATAATATGTGAGATAAAGCCTAATTGTAATAGTCATAAATTGCCTAATTATTTGCTAGGAAAAATGACTTATTTATAAATTGGTATCATTTAAATGTCAGTAATGTTTAATGTTTCCTATTTTGCTCAAGGAATATCCTCAGAACAATGGATGTAGAATGGCTCCTAATTTTTCACCACTTTATTCCCAAATGTTGCATCACCCTCAATCTGCTTTGTGGGGCTACAATGTTATAGGACAGCCCCAACAGTCAGGTTACTTTGTCCAGAACCAGCCTCTTCCACCAGGTAAAGCAGGGAAATCTGTCACATAAAATAATTCTTTTTAATTAATATTGTTTTCTTTGGAAAGTACTCACACTGGATGAATATGCTTAAATTAAATGGAAATGTATTTGTAGTTGATACTATATGCCTACTAAAGGTAAAGGTTCCCCTTGTACATATGTGCTAGTCGTTCCTGACTCTAGGGGGTGGTGCTCATCTCTGTTTCAAAGCCGAAGAGCCAGCGCTCTCCAAAGACCTCTCCGTGGTCATGTGGCCAGCATGACTAAATGCCAAAGGCTCACAGAACGCTGTTACCTTCCCACCAAAGGTGGTTCCTATTTTTCTACTTGCATTTTTACGTGCTTTCGAACTGCTAGGTTGGCAGAAGCTGGGACAAGTAACGGGAGCTCACCCCTGTTACGTGGCACTAGGGATTCAAACCGCTGAACTGCCGACCTTTCAATCAACAAGCTCAGTGTCTTAGCCACTGAGCCACCCCATCCCTTATACCTACTATACCACTATACCTACTATACTATACTATACCTACTATACCATTATAATATTTAATGTTAGATTTTAGACTCTTCCAACAATATTGCTCTTTTGTTATCTTTTACTTTACCTTTAAAATATATGTTGCATCTCTAGAAAACTTTGCTGGTTCACATTTTAAAAAAATGTAATGATTATATAAATAACCTGATTAAAGTGGCGTAATCAGCTTGATTCCCAGACTTATAGCATCACATCTGGAGCAGGCTTAGTGATCCTATAATTATTTTGTTAATCAATGTCTTTGAAGGTGGTTCCAGATTGGATCCCACAGGGTCCTTTGTGCCAAGCAACACAAAACAAGTGCTCTCTAACATGCTGCAGAGACGTTCCAGCAATATGATGCAGCCCCCAGCAATTCACACTATTTCTTCTCATCAGCAGCAGCAACAGTTGCTTCAACAACAGCGGATTCTAAGGCATCAGACCCAGGCAAGGCCTTTCAAATTGTGTTGTCTTATATTTAGAAGTGGGATGGATGGGCCACGATTTATTCAGCTTTTCTTCATTTTGGACAATGAAGCAAAAGAAATAATGATAGGGTTCAAAGTAAGCTTAGTGTATATATGCAGGACCAGAACTGGTTCATTATATTTTGCTACCTGAGGGAGAAGACAAAATAGTATCTCTCATTCCACATCAAAAAAAATTCACTGGACTGGAATACTGGAAGATAATCCAATTTCAAGAATAACAAATAGACTGTGTACACACGTTACTATCCCAACATTCACTGCCCTAATCTGCCCATTGCTGTCTGCCATCTGTCTCAACTAATGGGTACGGCTGGTCTGTGCACGGAAAACTGGACAGCAGTTAAGGAGACAGAATTTAGAGATCTTGTAACACTAATCTGCCCACAAAAACAATCTCACTTAAAAAAGATATTCTAGTCCCACCAGCTTACTCTTACACTACATGTGTTTTAAGAGACCTACAGTACTTGCAATAAATTGCATGTCAGTCTATCAACCACCTGCACCAAGAGCCATGGTGGGGCAATGGTTAGAATGCAGTACTGCAAGCTAGGTCACTGCTCACTGTCAGGAGTTCAATCTTGACCGACTCAAGTTTGACTCAGCTGTCCATCCTTCCAAGGTCGGTAAAATGAGGACCCAGATTGTTGGGAGTAATATGCTGACTCTGTAAACCACTTAGAGAGGGCTGTATAGCACTATGAAGCGGTATATAAATCTAAGTGCTATTGCTTTTGCACCTATTGCTGTTACCACTTGTTTTTAGATGTTTTTATTCATTATTTTTATAACTAACTCAAGGCAGCAAACCTACCTAATATCTTTCCTTCTCCTGTTTTCCCCACAACAGCAGTGTTGTGGGATGTGTTGAGCTAAGACAGAACGACTGATCCAAAGTAACCCAGCTGACTAAGGTGACCATGGAACTCACCATCTCCTGATTTCTAGCCTGTTATTTATTTATTGGTTCAATTTATATGCCGCCCTTCTCCGGAGACTCAGGGCAGTTTACAATGCGTTAAGCAATAGCCTTCATACTTTTGTATATACCTGCCTAGTAGGGCTTTCGCCCCCCACCCAGCAGTGTTCTTTTTTTTTTAATACAAAGTCAGCTTATTGCTCCCACAAACCGGATACCTTAACTATGAGATCAAACTGGCTCAAAATGAGCATGTTTAGATTGGTAAACTTTTAATATATAACAAGTATCATTTATTTTTTATTGGTGAACTGTTTTACAGGGTCCAACAATTGAGCAGGCTTCCATTTTTGCTCAACAAGTCCGCCCCTCTTCTTCTCAGCTAACACAGTATCCAGGAATACAACAATCACAGGTAAAGCATTCCTCTTAAAAATTGGTTCAGTGGGATTCAGAGAAATATGATGGTAGCTATAGTAATCTTGGTTTTATAATGTTTGAAAAATATGAGTAGCCAGTCTCTTTAATGAGTCCCCCTTTTATGAATGGCCTTGCCCAGTTGTTGTAGACAAGCAATAACCACTAGTAGATATTATTTGTGGGAACTAATATTTTTATACCAAAGCCATGGGGAACACAACTGCAGAAATTGAAAAAAAGATACTATAACCATAGCTAGTCTACCCATTTTCACCTAAATTGTGCTACAGGGAAGCACTTACTTCTCTCCCTTTAATTTCTTCCACATCATCCAGACTTTCTGTTAAACAAACAAACAAAAAATGAAGTTGACATGAGATCTATATGAATAGCTAGAAGACTCAATTGAGCCTAAGAAAGAAAATGAGATGCAAGGTTCCTATTTCAAGTTACAGTATTTTTAAAACCAGTAAAATGCCTAGATGTTTAGAAAACTAAAAGTCAAAATTGTGTGTTTTGAACTGTTTTCCACACAGACAATTCCTCATGGCTATACAATGTATAGTACTCAGATGTCATTGCCATCTCAACAGACTGGGGGTATAGTTCTTTCACCTACCTACAACCCTAGATCATTTCAAGCAACTCATTCTAGTCCAGTTTTAATGGAAAGGTTAAGACAGATGCAACAGCAGCCAAGCGGGTACATTCATCAGCAAGCAGCTGCCTATCTTCAGCCTTTAGCAGGCAATCAGCGGTAAGGCTCCTATAATTCCAGAACTTTGTTAACCTGATATTTTGTACTTTTCTGGGGAGAAAAATTGTCATAAATTCTGACCCAGCCAATCAAATTCCTGCCAAATCACTTGGGCTTCCAACTTAGCTTGAAGGACAAAACAAATTAGAGTTGAAACTTTAAATATCTGAAGGGGATCAGATTGAGAAAGTTTATTCAAACAGTTAGCTCAATCCTAGACAGGTAAATTATTTCTATACTATTTCCCAAGGCCCACAGTGCTTTGAATTACATGTAGCTTCAACCAAGCTCAGTCTTTTTATTATTCAGACTAGATAGAATTAAGCTGATGCTAAATACATTTGGAAATCCCCTTGTCTCATAAAACATGTGTATACTGTATATATGGCATAATTTAATAAACATATCATTGTGTAATTTCTATTTATTTAATGTATGTGTTTTGGAGCTATTAAATGGATCTTTGGAAATTATAAACCAAGTGCTTCTAAAATTTGCTAATCAAAAGATCCTATTAATTTATTCAGTCATTCAAAAGTATAATATTTCTAAGTGCCTAATTTACAGACCATCTTTCTAAAGCTGTAATATCTATTTTTTAAAAGCTGTTTTTTTATTTTTCCGTTTTACTTTTTTTGACAGCAACCTTGAGGCAGTAAAACAAATATTTCATTTCTGTGTTTATGAAAATAGTCTTTCTTGTTCTTAGCACCATTTGAACCCAGATTTAATCACGGATGAAAAGGGAGTCTATTCAAACTCTTCTCTGTTGTAAATCCTTCTGTGACAAGCACTTCAAGCACATGACTGATCTTAAATGGATAGAATAGAGGCATCTAATCTCTATTCTCCCCCTATCAAAGGAACTGATAGGCAAGGATAAATTCAACTGCTTCACTGGGGAATGGCAAATGTTGTACCTGTTCTGCACAAATTTCATCATTTGAGGGTATCATGAAAAGCATGTTGCAATCTTAATGCTTAGTAGTGAATAGGGAAAAAGGGTTTATTTTACAAAAGAAAGCACACATGTCTTCTCAGTTGCAAATTAAAGTTTCATCTAAATCATTACTGCTTATTTTTTTGTATCTAGAAGATCATTTTTTAATTTTCTGCTGAACGGAATACGAAGTTTTTGTGGCATTACTGAGGCTTTCTCTTGGAATGGTGTTTAAAGACAGCCTCCAGAATTTCCTGTTATTCACATTAAATATTTTTGCAAGCTGTAAAATGAAAAAATGCACAATTTGACTTAGAGTTCCATTTACTAATTAATACTTGCACAGCCTTATTACATACAGGCAATAAATATAAATTATAATTGGCTGTACTTGGAAAAAACCCTCCATTTTCCAATTCTTTTCTATACAAGTCATAAATATTATTTTAACAAATTAATTTTAACAAGGCAATGTTAAAATCTTGCTTCTCTGGCAGTAGCTGAACTTGCTATTGTGTCTACAGAAATATACATGTGAAGCTTTCAAATTTTATTCAAATAATTTTGGAATTGGTACAAATCTCTTGAGACCTCAATATAACCCGAGACTAATATTTTTAACTTAATATATCATTCAGCTCTCTACATTTTTAGACAAACTGATTTATATTTCTATCTTTAGAAGAGAATATTTGTATCTCAGTGAGCTGTGAACTGTGGCATCCTTGGTGCTCTCTGAGCTTGGTGAATTTCTAGCAGACATGATGTTATCTAGTATGCTAATAAAACCTCTACAAGAAAACCAAGTTCAGAGAGTATCAGGACCCCAAATGTCCATCTTTAATATGAATATCAGAGTAAAGAATTGTTGAGTATAAAACTGCGTGTAAAACACATATGTTGTGAAAAAAAATCCTGCAGAGACCATGTGCGCACACTTTAAAACAAATTTGCAGACCAATGTGGAAATTGGATAGAAAAGACTTCTGCAGTGAAATAATTTTCTATCTTATCATGTGGTCTACTATATATTGCTTTTGTAGAAATCTTTTGATATGAATAGGATTTATATACCTTTTCTGAGTATATATGTCAGAAAGTTAGTCAGCCCTAACTTTTCTCTATAATTGTTTAGTAAAGTAAATTGGGCTGAGAAAGTTTGATTTTCCCCGGAATCATCTATCTAAACTCAGTGAAGCTTAATCTCGTCTTTCTAAATCTTCCATCTTAATCTAAACTGCAACTAAATTGTTATTCTGCTTAGAGTTCACAACTTTCCAGTCTCACATGCATCAATATCTTTTCTGATCAGTGTGTATTGATGTCAATATCAGTACACACTGATCAGAAAAGGAGAAAACATGCTAATTTCTTGTTTCTCAAAGCCGTCTTTATTTCATAATGATCACATTTCAATCCTTAAAGTAGATGGATATCCTTTGCTAATTATGGTTTATTTTAACTATAGTTTATTATTTTGTTTTATAATGAATTCACAATTGACTGGATTTATGCATCATGACAATTTATAAATAATAGTTTATGAACTATAATGTTGTAGTTTGTATAACATGCTAAGCTAAAACCAAAGAATTAAATTCTGGTTTAGCATAGCAAGGCAACTCACTTTCAAATGGATATTGGTATAATTAAGATTATGCAGATTTGGTTTAGTATATATATTTTTTTGTTTCAAATATGTGTTTCATAAGAATTTCATCATAGTTCTATTATGGGATGGGATGAAAATGATTTAAATAAAAAAATATTTACAAATTTTAGCTGAGAAATGAAGCTTTAATATGCATCTGTTTAATTTATCAATATTTTATTAATATCCATATATTGCTTTTTGTTTGTGATATTCCACTGAAATTGTTTCATGTACTTATAGAACATTAAACTTAGAATAACAGAGTTGGAAGGGACCTTGGAGGTCATCTAGTCTAACCCTCTGCTTAGGCAGGAAACCCTTATTTAAACCCTTATTTAAAATAACTTATTTATTTTACAATATTTGTATAAGAGAAAGACTCTGAGAAGTGCATAAGGAAAGCAATATAATTAACAACCATTTTAAAACTACTATTACAATCAAACAACAGTTGTATGTTCTGATATATCTTCAGTGTCTTCAAACTTCAACTACATCAATCACCCTAAAGGCAAAAGTAAAATGGACTATTTTTGAAATAAAATGGTTTATTTCACTAATTTTACTTTTTTACTTTTATTTTTCATACCTGCAAACTATGTATTTTTGTGTGTGTCTCAGTTCAGTTCACCAGTCTTTGCAGCAGAATAACTTGGTTGGAGGACCTCTGGATACAGTATCAGCCACACCTTCCCAGGCAAATCTTTACTCTGTCCAGGTGTCTCAGGAACAGATGAGACAGAGGCAACAGCAAATTCGGCAACAAAGATTCCTTCAGGTTTGGTGTCTTTAATTTTGTTAGTTTGAAATGATTATTTTTATTATGATGATCACAGTGTTCATTTGAGCAGGTAATGCTCCATTATGTCAATATACAGAGTCTACTCTGAAATGCATATTCAGAATGGTGGAGGCCCTCCTCTTAATTAGAGATCTTTCTACAAGAACACTATCTTCTATTACTCATCTTCATAATTCTTCATAAAAATAAATTGTAGAAGCCTGGGATCACAGGAAAGGATTAAAGCCAGAGGTGGGTTTCAGCAGGTTCTGACCAGTTCTGGAGAACCGGTAGCAGAAATTTTGAGTAGTTCGGAGAACCAGTAGTAAAAATTCTGACTGGCCCCGCCCTCATCTATTCTTTGCCTCCCAAGTCCCAGCTGATCAGGAGGAAATGGGGATTCCCAGTAACCTTCTCCTGGAGTGGGAAGGGAATGGAGATTTTACAGTATCCTTCCCCTGGAGTGAGGTGGGAATGGAGATTTTACAGTATCCTTCCCCTGCCACGCCTACCAAGCCATTCCATGCCCACCAAGCCATACCACAGAACCGGTAGTAAAAATTGTTGAAACCCACCACTTATTAAAGCCCTTACCAAGTCTACTTTAGCCTTTCAGTAGTACAATTTGTGAAAATTGTAGAAACACTATAATAAATTACAGTTATAACCTTTTTGTAGATCCAGTTTCTTGATGAGATCTACCTCGTAGGCTTGGGGTAGGTTTCATCCAGTTTCTTGATGAGATCTACCTCGTAGGCTCTAATAACCCATTTCCAGGATAGTCTATGTTGTCAGACCTCAAAATGGCCATTTTGGAAAAATGGAAGTTTAACATAACCACTAAGGGAGAGATTGCTAAATACACATGTATCCAAAGTTTTCAGACAATCTCTAAACATTTCAACACATATAATGTGTTTTTAATACATTGCAATTAATTGATAAAATCCTAGTAATCTGTACATGTAACCTGCATCTGCATAACCAATCTGTTTTCTCCGTCCACACCTCAGTTTAAATCCTTTATCAGTCTAGCCATCTGATGGTGGTCTACAACTCACAAAAGTTTATTCCTTTTAATGAAAATATATTAGCTGAAAAATCTATTAGCTGCTACCCAAATCCTGACTTTTTGTTACCATAAGCTCTCATATCTTTTCTTCTGCAATGTATGCAAAGCTCAGGACCTGCTTCATTGAACTATATAGTTCTTCCTATATGTATGTCTACATAAGCTTCAAGCATTTCCCTTCTCCTATCTTCTCATATCTCCAGAAAGGTTTTTATTCATATTACAAGTTTAACGACCTAAGGTTGTAGAAATTTATAGATTTAATTAGAACAACTGGCAAAGATTGATGAAAGGAGAATTAAATCTGATCATTTGGGCAGAAATTTATTAAGCACCACAAAGGTAGCAGCTAGAAGAAATTCTAAAATGCAAAATTACAGTTTGTGAATATGACTCATAAAAAGCATATGTTTCCTAGATCAGAATGTTATTACAGTATACAGTATGCTCTCAAACTGGAGAGGGGATGTGTGTAATCTGGGCAGGTGGCTCTCAGTCTAAAGTCAAAAGCCTTCTGTTAATGATCAATCCAACTGAAAAAAAACCTGACATTGTAATGCCAGCTTTAGCTTCTACCAGTTTACTTATTGATCAACTACAAGATTTCTCATCCTCTGAAAGTTGGCACTATTATTGCCTTTCTATTGCAATAGGAGTTGCAAAAACATCCCAAAACAATTTCCATATTGTTAACTAGGAAAATGAATACGTTAACATGTTCAGTAGGATGAAATCTGACTCTAAGAAAGATTTATACTTTTTTTAAAAAAAAGATAAACAGAATTGCAATCATTTTCCTTTTTTCCCCCTTTCAGCTTCAGCAGCAGCAGAATCAACAACAAATCATTAGTCTTCAAGCAATGCAGCCTCAACAACAATCTTTTGTAAGACAAATATTCATAATAAACCATATTCTGGAGCTCTTTCACAATATAGAAAGTCATAGGGTTCAAACTAGCATTTCCTGCTAATTACTGCTATTCATTTCCATGTTCTGGGAGAAAGGCGGAATTGATATGAGAAGACACTCACAATAATAAGAGTGAAGTGGCTTTGAATGTCTATTTCTAAGTCTCTTGTGTAAAAAAAAATAGGCTAAACTACAGTATGTGCTCTGTAAATTTCCTAATGAGGTAATTATTGTTTGGAACATTACCCATATAATGCTTCCCATATTTAGGAAGAAGATATTCTTTCTGAAACATTGTGATCGTAACTGTGTATATATTTTTAATGCTTGTACAAATACTCCATCTAGTGGATTAGGTTTCGATGAATTTCACTACTAGTCTGCTTAAATCAAATTTATAGCTGCTTAAAATGTATTTGATTTGAACTGTGACCATCAACCTCCTGATGAGCTGTGTTATAATACTGCTGCCCTCTGCCCTCTAATGCTTGATAATTTCTACTTCCACTGAAAAAGACTTATTTGTACTACTTCTTTTAGAAGGTTACATTAATTTATTTAAAAATTCTCAGGGGAGGTGCAGGAGACCTTGTCAGGAGAGGTCTATTTGCTTTTCACTTTGTAAATGTTCCATATGCCCTTACTATTGAGAGTATAACCATTACCTTTCCTACAACTTTAGCACTTTATAGAATAAACAGCACGATGGTAAGATGCTTATGAGATCACCTGGCTATTCCAAGAAGTACTAAAGTTATAGAAATAAATAAAAGTTAGCAATTCGTGCTCCAAATACTTAGGGAACATTTTAAAGGATCCATTCTCTTTAGCCAAATAGTGTGCAGCAACATCCAACTTCTATCGATTTATTGAGAATGTCTTTGTTTCATTTTGCTTTGAATTTCTCACAGAGATCTAAACAAATCAATTTAGATACTGTGTTAACAAATTTTATTTATTTTGATTTAGAGGATCGGTTGAGAAGCATTTCATCTATGCTTCTGTATAAGAAAAGGGTAATTTAGCTATAAAAATCATGATTTTGTTTTTATTTTGCCAAAATGCACATCTGGGAACAGTTGCTCAATTTCTAAAGGAAGAGAAAAGTATCCACATTAACTAATTGCCTTCACATTTCATAAATGGTCAGAAATTTCATTTTTTGAACTTTCCAAAGGAAATAACCTTTAGAACTCTAGTTTTAGTCTATTGGAATGAAGTCAGAAGATACTTGCACGATGGAAACTTGAATGTTTCAAAGAAAGAATGTCTTGTAGAATAGAAGGCAAATGTATAAGTACATCATTTAGATGATAGCCCCAATATTGCCAGAAAAGGAGGCGGATCAGAGCCTGTCTTTTCTATGGAAAGCTGATAATGAGATTGTGCGAAGATTGCTAGAACAGCGCTTACTTTCAAACAGATGGCTAAACACATGACTCTAACCATCTATTAAAACTTGGCTCCTCTCCAGCCACAGTCCATGTTAAGGGCAATGATTGATGGATGGTTTTTTACTCACCAGCAGTTAAATGAGCTATGCAGAAAACAGGAGAGAATCACTTCTGGCCTTCTTACTGAGGCACAATAGAGACCACCTATGTAGGCAGAGGAAACCATGCCAGCATACTATATGCTGCCTCATAGATCAGGAAAGCATGTTAAATAGGCAATCTGGATGCACGCCTATCAATTGTAACAAAAATTGCAGAAAACATTCATCAATGGGGCTCTTCCAAATCCTCATCCCGCCACCCAAGTTCTGAACGTTCAAATGTTGCACCTTCTGAATCAGTGGTGAAATCCTCCCGGTTCTATCTGGCTAACCAAACTGGTAGTGCCGGGGGGAGGAGGCTCCGCCCACCTGCCAGGATGTCATTACGTCCTGTTTTTTTTTAACCATCTGCGCATGTGCAAAATAGATGCACGCACACATAGTGCGCACACAATTTCGTGCACTCCCATTCCCAACCGATAGCAAAGGTAAGTGGATTTCACCGCTCTTCTGAATATATTGAATGTTAAAGATCATTTATGCAGTTACCTATCTGGATGCTTCTGAGTTTCACATTGAGTTATGACATACCACATGTTCTGTCACACAAAACATTCATAATTCACATCCTAGAATAATGATTACCAACAGTCGCAATATTTATTTTTGCCAGGCTCATTTAAATTCCTGACAGTCCTAGTCAAAATTCAAATTTCAATAACTAGCAACTTCAGGTAACTTTATGTTAAAATATGGCTTTAGAGTACACAATTCAAGTATGAAACAGAGACTGCAATTTTTCAAGAATTTTCTTCTGTTACAATTTTATTTTCTGTACTAGGGATGAAAGAGAGCTGAACTGTTCAGTTAGTTGTTACGTTGGCTTAGTATCCTGATACACTTTTGTGGATTTTGCTTTGTTTTGAAAATACCAATGTGCTTTGGCAGGCAAGAAATTAAAATCAAGCTAGTGCATCATTGAGGCCTTTCTAGCCATTTGAATTGAAGCCTTGCCCCTGTGGGCAAGTTATTTTTCCCCCCTATTTTCTGAGACTACAACATAATTGCATTTGGTTTAAATTAGAAGACTAGATATTATTTTTATTTATCTTATTTTATTTATCCTAAGCCATGGAGCGCTCTAAAGGTGGTAACCAAAACCTTGAAGTGCACCCGGAAGACCACCGGGAGCCAGTACAGCTCGCGCAGGAGGGGAGTCACATGGGAGCACCACATCACTCCTGTAACCATAGTTATCTTCATAGTTAATCTATTCATTTCTGTACAATCTAAATTTTTTTTAATTACTTCTCTCTCCGATGGTATATTCTCTGCTTTCCAATTTTGTGCATAGCCAATCCTCGCAGCTGTTATTACATGTATAATCAAATACACATTGTCTTTACTAATTTTCTCTGGTAAGATACCCAATAGGAACAGCTCTGTTTTAAATCCATACATTGTTGTATCATTTCCTCCAACCATAATTTAATTTTATTCCAATAGTTCTTTGCTTCAGGGCATGTCCATCACATATGATAATATGAACCTGGTAAGTGGTGGCATTTCCAACATTTAGCTGATTTGTCTTTAAACATTTTTGCCAATTTCTCAGGAGGCATATGCCATCTCATTTATGGTACTTTGTATAAACAAAAATTATTAAGATAAATATCAATTATTTATGAGAATTATAGCATAAAAAAAACTACCATTCTAAGAAATTAACGGTTAAGAAATTCAAATAATATGAACCGTGCTTCTCAATATCTTGAGGTGAGTTTAATGTATCAAAAAACTCTACTTTATTGGACATAATATTTTATAAGAGTCACCTGTCCATTTCATTATGTTGGAAAAGTAAAGCTCAGTTAGTCCTTGATTTATGACCACTATGGGGTCCAGAATTATTGTTATTAGTGATGCAGTCATAAAGCGAGATATCATGTGACTGCACCATTTAGCAATCACAAATTTTGGTTGATGTTCTTATGCAAGAATTGTGGATTGTTAACTGAGTACCACCTTGAACAAATGGGGCTATTTGGTGGCTTCTTCCCTTTACAATTGTGGTGAGGTGCAGACAACATATGTATATCTGCCCTTTGTGTCCTGATCAGGGTACACTTGAGGACTTAATGGCAGCATGAAAGAATGCAATTAGTAGCCTGTCACGGTCACGTGACCATATTTTATTATGGTTGTGCCAGAACTTGGTACTTATCTCCATTTTTATTTATTTGTTTATTTATATCCCGCCTTTATTATTTTCACAAATAATTCAAGGCGGCAAACATATCCGTACTTCTAGCCAGGCGCTTTAACCATTAGACCAAAACTGGCTCTTTATTTTGTAATTTTATATATATGTGTGTGTATTAATTATAATGGTTTCAACAAAAAAACATTGGTTTATTTAACAACCACTATATATTTTTTATGACCACCAGAAAAAAGGTTATAAAATTGTATTGTTCAACATGTTTTACAACTGTCACAGATGGCAATTCCATTATGGTGATAAATCAAGGACTACCTGTATTTGTGCCACACTTACTTGTCCTATATTGCTATATCCCTTATCTTTACTTCAACATTCTCTAGCTGTGTAACTGAGATATTGAGACATCGTGTTATTTATGCTATTTTATTACCTGTTAATAGTGATGGTGAATGAGAATGAGCAAAACTGGCAAGTTTGACTCTGTTCAATTGGTCATCTGTTCAATAAACTATCTGATTTAAGAAGGTAAATTATAATACCTACTAAAATAGTTTGATTATCTTGAAAACATTAGATAATTCTAAATCTAAATATTCAAATCTTCAAAACCCTAAAGTCTTTGAAGAGGATCCATAATAGAGAAAAAACAATTTGGTTAGGGATACATATTTGCCATAGAAAAAATCCATAGGAAACGAGCACTTTCTCATTACTTTAACAAGAGACATTTTCTGAGACTAGAGAGACAACATACACTGGGAATAATTTGCTAATTTTTTCTGATATTGAATATTGCAGTTCCCAAGACAAGGTTTGCAGCAGACACAGCAGCAACAACAGACAGCTGCTCTGGTCAGACAACTCCAGAAACAGCTGTCAAGTAAGTATGTAGCATTAGATAAAGATTCTTTTCTGCTTCTTTCCATCTGGGCTTTTGCATATTTGGAAAACAGTTACTGCCAACTCATTATGGTTAAATAATAAATCTGGCTATCATTGCTGGAGAGTAAAAGAATGTTGTTTGTGATAAAGCCCCTATCTTAAAAACTACAACATGTATGCACACTGCTGTTTAGTAAGAATGTTTTAAATATTGTATCTCATTCATTCAAGATTAGGTAGCTAACTAGCTAACTAGCTAACTAACTAACTAACTAATAATATAAGCAATTAATATATTTATTACAGATCTGTATACTGACCTATTACAAGGCTCTAGACAGAAGTAAAATATCCAATAAAACAATCTGTTCCTAAACCCAACAAGCCAAAGGCTTTCCAGTTCAAATCCAAAACATCAGTAGATTATAAATGCCTGTTTAAATAAGATCATTTTTACAACTTTGCAGAGCTCCAACAGGTTGAGAGTCAATCTATCTCAGGGTCAAGCTCTTTCATAATTCTGGAACTGCCACTTAAAATATGTGTTTCCAGGCTCATACTTCCTTGACTCACTGTGACACAGAGATCCCAAATATCTTCTGTCATAATGTTTATACAGGATGAACAGATTTTGACCAGGGCAGACATTGTGTCAAGATATATAAATGACATGTGTGTTATCACTGGTATTTTGGACTTGGAAAATCTATTGGCAATCAATCCTGTGATGCAATTGTAGTAGCATTCATAAGCAGCCTTATTGTGAACCAAGTTTCCATTATTGTTTTCAAATAGTTTCAAAGGTAGTCCCAATGTAGTAGTCTAAGCATGAGGTGAAAAGGATGTTAGATACAGATGCCAAGGCTATTTTGGTCCAAGAGAAATTATAACTATACATCAGGCAATGCTGAACAATGTCCCTCCCACAAGCTGTAGGCTTTACCTGTTGCTTAAGTAAGAGCCATGAGTGAACCCTCAAATTACAGACTTATTCCTTCAGAGGGAATGAGACCAACATACTTGGTCTTATTTCCTCTCATACATGAACAGAATTTATTGTAAATAAATGTTTTATTTTTTTGACAGGAGGGGAGGTTGTGAGCCACCCAGGATTTAGACCAAAGGGTTGGCTATATAAAAGTTTTAAATAAATAAGTTCTATTCAAACTGGTTTTGTCACATCTAGTTGCTTATAGCTTCCAAACATTAAATAAAGATCTCCGTAGTATCTCTTATCCAGCCACAGGTCAATGTGTATAAGTAGATATCATCATCATATTGATAATAGCTTCACCTCATATCAGTGGATAATCTCACCCAAACATAAGTATTTTCATATAGAAATTTAATAACATATTAGAAAATGTTAAGTCCTATAGCACTTATCATGGAGAAGCCAAAGACTAGACTATTATTTCCCCATTAGTCCATTGGAAACCATTAGTGTCCACAACTCTTAAGGGTGTTTCAGAAGGATACAATGATTAATGTTAATGAAACCCATAGGATTAGAGGGGGTACATTCCAACCAGATCCTAATGAAGATCAAACATGAGAGTGGCAATGCAGCTTCAGTCCCAAGTTCAAATTTGAATCTGAAGAAAAGGATTCAGATGGTGCATTTCATCAAGAATCCTTTGAAGCTGATACCTTACCATTTTTTCAAAATCATTTTCAAGGAAGCATTCATCAGCTCCCAAAGTAGGTAGAGGAGGCATGAATGAACATATTCTGTGATGGAACTACCTACCAATGAATTGGAAAGAAAAATTCTCAATGACTCTTAAAGCCCAGGTTTGACAGATCTGTAATATGCTAGGGGTGGACCATCTAAATTAGTTCTCCATTCTTTCAGAGATTAAAGATTCTAATCATTCATATGTTGACCAGAAAATCACAAGACCATGACAAAGGTCTTCTATTTTCATGCCTCATCTGTTCTGAAATATGGACAAGAAGCAGTATATGACCTTCTGTATGAATTGGAACAGAGATCACCTTAACCAAAGCCATGGTTTCCATGGGAGTCATGAAATATTGAGTCCATTCAAAAACAATTTCCACCTTGGGAAATTCCAACAGAAGGGTCAAACCACGAGCTTTTTCCTGCAATCTAAATATACTCACATTTGGTCCTCTGGAGAGCAACATCTTTGGTTATTGCCAAAGGTTTTCATATTTTGCCTTTAGTCTTATTTATTAACCATTACTTTTCCATAGCCTTAAGTGACAGGAGAGGTATATGAGTGGCATGAAGATTTTATGAGGTGAGTGGAACCAGAACATTGAAATTCTTTAAAAAATAAACTAAAATAAAAAGAGTTTAACAAAAACATCCAGTTTTGAGTATGTGTATGTTGTTTTTCTTAAGTATGCAAAATCTATATCTTATCAGGCAGCATTTAACATTGAAGAAAATGTTATGATCCTTAGATTTCAAAATATATACATTGCCGGATAGACTCAACGTGGAACTCAAGGATAAAAGCGAAACATTGTACTATAAAATCTGGGCAAAATTCTATGAATGGTTAGATAAAAGGAGGATAGCCGAGACAAATGTGTAGTGGTAGACTAGAATTATATATGTTATTATAGATAAATATGTATGTGAATTGTATATGTAGGTATAGATATGTATAATTGTATAGGAATAAGGTATAAATGATTAATATTATACTATGTTTAAATAATGTATAAGGTGTAAGGAATATATTATTATATCTTCATTAGTATATTATGTATTAACTTAAAGTGTTGGAAGATGCTTGAGACCAGTGGTGTCATATCTATGTCCAATTTGGATAATGAGTATTTGAATTTTAGGCATATAAACTTAATTTCTGTTTGAAACTAAGGCTTTCCATTCCCTCCCCCCCCTGCCCCCCACACATAATTGTTACTTGGAAATTTATTTTGATCTGTTATATGGGATTTTCATTTGATGACATTACAGCATTTTTATGTTTTTGCTCCTTAGGTAACCAGCCCCAGCAAGGTGTGAATCCATACAGTCATCTTCCACACTTCTGAATCTGAAAGATGTCAGGAAGAGAAAGTATTTGCACTGAAGAACAGGGAGAGCAGAATTTGTTGCACTAATTACTCCTCCCATTTGTGTGTGTGTGTGTTGCCAATAATGTGAATATTATTGTAGGAATAATAAGTAGGAAATAGATTATTTTTGCCTGTAGCAAATTACAGAAATATAAATTATGTCGGACTTAACCTGTGGCTGCAAAATATATGGATTTGGTGCTTTAAGAGTTTTTTTTTTGGTGCAAAAAAAGTGGGGTTTTTAAAAAAAATACAAAATCCTTAATACTGTGCTGGACCAAATTCTGACTAAAAAGACACTTTATTTGTCTGTTTGTTTGTGTGTGTGTGTGTGTGTGTGTGTGTGTGTGTGTGTATATATATATATATATATATATATATATATATATATATATATATATAGTTTTTCCCCATTTGCTAATTTTTGGTCAACTGTATATTTATATAAGAATGCCATATCTTTTTTTTAATGTCCTGTGCTAAACACATTGGGCTACAAATGAACCCCACAGTTCTTGATCAGCAGCCATAATTTAAGCCTAATAAAATTGCTAAATTTATTTTTCAATGATGACATGCAAAGAATCAAAATTTGATTTCAAAGCCTATTATCACTGTACATGTTACTTTGAGAGAAAAAAAAATGTTACCTGGTGTTGGAGATGTCACAACTGATTTCAGACATATAACCTAGTACAGGGTGACTTACTATCCATACCGTTTCACTGCTAACATTTGTGTGATGTAAATTATGCCCTTTCTTCAAAGAATTACAGCTTGCTTTAGATAGATAAAAAACATTGTGTCTTTCAGATTGCTTCCTCTGTTTTCAGAAACATTATCAGAGACATACTCCTAGGGTTTTCACTAGATATTTCATTAGATATTAAGATGGCCTTTTGCTATTTTGTAGTCTATGAACGATCCAAAATCATTTCAAGAATTATTTCAATTTTTCAATAGGTAATACAAATGATTCTGACTAATATGAAGAGATCTGTTAGGATTAATACTATCTCTACTGTGTTTCCCCGAAATAAGACCCTGAAATAAGCACTTGGCCTTATTGCCATGCACTCAAAAGCCCGATTGGGCTTATTATCAGGGGATGTCTTATTTTGGAGGAAACAGGGTAGTAATCCAGCATTCAACATGCCAGAGAATGTATATGTGCGTTTGTCTATGAAGCATAGATGCATGCATATGTGCACATGTGGACATATGCATGTATGTGTGTGCGTGTGTGTGTGAAGGTATATATCTATATGCATGTTTCCATAGATGAGAAATATTCTATAAATAAGAGCCCTGGCCTATACTTTAACATGTCATAGGCTGCTGGTATAAGAGAAAGAGCAGGGATACAGAATGACAGAGTTGGAAGGGATCTTGAAGGTCTTCTAATCCAACTCTCAAGACCTGCTCAAGCAGGAAATCTTATACCAGGTCAGACAAATGATTGTCCAATTTCTTCTTAAAAACCTCCAGGGTTGGAGCAACCACAACTTGTGGAGACAAATTGTTCCGCTGATTTATTAAGTGCAGATCCAATGGAAAACCAATAACTGATGATATTTATTGCAGGTAGGGCTTTCATTATAAAATGTCTCAAATGGGAGAGTTTAAAAAAAGCTGCTATATCAGGGGTGTCAAACTGGCAGCCCACGGGCTAAATGCATCATACACAGGCCATACCCACCCCAGCTCTGCTAAAGGGGAAAACATTGCAATATGTCACATGACGGCAACGTGATGCTGCGAGTTTGACACCATATGCTATATAATGGCAACTAATATATTGTTACTGACTCGGCAACTAATAATACTGTTCTGACTCGGGAGAACAAAGGTGGAGAAATGTGAAGCACAGGCGGAAAGCTTATGTTGTTTATTTCTGGAACAGCAATGTCTTAACAAGAACGGGAAACCAGCAACAACAACAGAACAGGACAGCTGCTATTTATATAGCAACTGTCAAACGGGCCAACCAATAGCGGGCGTCCATTTTCCCACCGGCAGAACTGTCATGCCTAAACCAATGGGAGGCATTTCCTAGTTACTATGCTCCGGCGTGGCAGAATATGCAACACCTACAGTGTTAGCTTTGTGAGGAGATGCATTTTGTAATGAATCATCAAGTAGAAACTGATGTTATACTGTAGAATTCAGGTTTGGTTATCTCAGTGGTAGAATCTAATATTTATCACCTTATCAATTGTTTGTAAGAACTCGGCTTTAGTTTCCGAACCCTAGAATAATGGCTTTTCATTTTGTATGATAGGTATTCAGAAGTTAAAAACATTGATTTTATTTATGTAAATATATCTGTATTTATAAATTTGCTGCACAAGCACAACTATATTATTCAACAAATTTATATCTGAAATAGAAACTATTTTAACTTTGTGGAAGTGATATTTGCTCATATTTGGGTAAAGACTAAATAGAAGAAACTGTTTTGTGAATTTTGAGTATTTTTAGAGTTAGATGAACAAATTTTTGAATGTGTTTCATGTAGGGAATATTTAAAATATTTGAGACTATTTTACCACATATTCTGTCATAACTATAAATTTCTTTGTGATAGAATTACAATAAGGATTACTATGGATGAAATAATATCTATTAAGCAAATCAGTCCATTGATGTAGAATAAAATTTGAACTTGCAACACCAAGCCAATGCATTTCTATCTTCTCATAATGATATGAGAATATTTAGGGTAATACTTCTGTGAATTACTATGTACACTGTGAAAACATTTAGGTTGCACATTGTGAAAAAAAACTTTGAAATTTCTTGTAACTTGAATGTATAACATTATTTACTTTTGAAATGAAACCATGCCTATTTTCCTTATTATATACTTTGTTTTCTTAAAAATAATGAACAGTTGTAAATATATTTTAAAAATATTTGGTATTGCAACAAATTGCTGATTCAGGTTTATATTCTTTGTTGTCACTGTGCAATTATAACAAATGCAGAATAATATTCATTTCTGTGCTCTATTACTTGTTGATTAAATAAATAATGTGCAAAAGATGGCACATTATCCATGTGGTAGGATGGATCGGTAGGACCCACCTATCTATGGGGTAGGTGTTTCAGGTGTCTAGTTTTGCTACATTTCATGTTTCATTTGGTGACAATCCATCAAATCTGGAGATCAACAGATAGTCCTGAGATTTTATCATTGGATGGAGTCTGCCTTTTTATCAGGTGAAATTGCTAAAAATATATATCTGAATTAGTGCTATTCAAAAATTTGCCTAACTGTCATAGAAATCCAGTGAAAATCCAAACCAGAACTGACCATATTTTTTTTTAGATGTGGAATTTGAAATATGAAACTGAGAATTGTCTGGAGATTTCAAAGAAAGGCCTATTTTTTTCTAGACTCTGTTTCCTGTAATAGTTATTCTGGAAGCTCTTGGACTGAATGATGGTGAAAATCTCCTTCTTTTTGTTACTAGTGCCTGATAAATATCTGGTAAAGTTACAAAAATATTGGTAACTTTATTTTTATAATATTTGAACATAGCTGCTTGAGTTTTTATGAAACTTCAGTTAGAATATGATTCAACTATTCCCACTCTGAACATACTCCAGATGCGTATGCATTCTTCCAAAATTATCAGCAGTAGCTGTGCATGCAAGCAATTCGGGAAGACCATATCCATGCATCTGTAAGGCACTCAGGCTGCAAAAGATTGAAGTTATACTTCTGAAAAGGGGATTGGCATGGACAATAACAGCAAGGGGCAGAAATAAATTAGGATTGCTCTAGATTAGGGGTGTCAAACGCGTGGCATCACGGCGGCATGTGATGTATCGGGACTTTCCCCCCCTTCACTAAACCGGGCAGCGCATGACGCAACCGGCCCGCGGGCTGCGATTTTGACACCCCTGCTCAAGATTGTGTATCATACTGAATATTCTGTTTTAATTTTAAGGTGTGGTTATAACAATGCATTTATATTCACACACAGGTGGACTAAATCTTGGTTTGCAAGACATTTGTTCAAAATTCTGCATTTTAAGCCACTTCATTCAAGGAGAATAATGCCAGGGAAAATGTCAGCTTGAGGTTGTTCATACCAGGAAATCATTTTTAAGAGTAAGCTGCAAATTTCTTTAGAGAACCTTGAAATATTGATTTTCTCCTGGTGTTACATATATCAAAATTAATTAGGATGTCAAGTAAATGGTTGAATCTAGCCATATATAAATGTTTGTTCATTCTCATTTTTTTTTCTTACCTGGGCATGAAAAGTAGGCAACTCCAGTCCTTCAGCAGCTAACATATTGAGAAGAAAAATAAGTTGGACTCCTAGAGCAACCACTATAGATTTAGGAAAATTGGGATACACACACACACACTCCAAACTCCTGTGTAAAGCACTCAGCAAAAATGAATGATATCAGAGGTGAAATGCTACTAGTTCGGACTGGTTTGACTGAACCGGTAGCGATGGCAGCGGGTGGTTCAGAGAACCGGTAGTTATGCCAGCGTGAGGCTCCGCCCACCCACCCGGTCATCCTTACTTCCTGGTTTTAACCAGGAAGTAACCTGTCTTTTACCTTCTGCGCATGCACAGAAGGGTTTGCGCTTGTGCAGAGGGTCCACGCGAGCATGCGACACACGTGGTGCATGCACTTCCAAACCGGTAGGGAAGGTAAGTAGATTTCACTCCTGAATTATATCCTCCAAAGTTGAAGAAAAATAAGATATATAGTCTATATATTAATGATAGCAAGAATCTTGGTTCAGTATTGTATCTCATGATTAGGCAACAAAGATATCTTACTCTCCTTGCAAATGGATAGGCTTATATATACAAAATTTACTTAAACTATAGCCACTGTTTATAGAATCACAACACTGGAGGGACCACTGAGTTCAATCTTCTGCCC